TAACTAAGTTGAGCACGAAGCTCCTATCTAATGGCAGACGTGCCAGTCTTATATGGAACCTTCGTTCTCTATGGATCATATGGATCACCATGATCCATCTGATCCGGCTCACACTGGCTCATATGATCCTCCATGATCCAAGCGAGTCACGTGATGCTAATCAAAGGAAATCCCTGGATCGCTTAGCTAGCCTAAGCGTCCCTATTTTGCTATAAGAGCTTTCGATAGTGCTTAACCTGTCAGGTCGCCGCCTGGTCTTCACTTATTTACATGCCGAGCACGTGATTCGTGACTGTAAGGCTCTTATAGTATGTGACGGAGCTGGATTTCATTTGACAGGATTTCATTCGCTTGGCCAAGCACGTGACGAGACTTGGCATTGGAACAACTTAAATAACTTCGCTCCTTTCAGATTCTCTTCTCTCTTTAGTTTGATTTCTTCGTACCTACGGTTTGAGTTCTAGCAATTGATTCAAAAGCTGTATACACTTTATCCTTTGTTGGCATCCGTGACATAGTATAACAACCTATAGACTTTAATAGAAGCTATATTACGCTCTAATTAAACAGATTAATTATTCTTATATAAAAGGATAAGACAAAAGATTAATTAAGGCTTATAATAACCTAGGATTATAAGGCGCTTTAAGCCCTTAGTACCTATATATCGAGCGTATGCTAACCTAAGGCGGTAGATAATTTATCTTTTACTATATAGATTATAAATCCGGATATTATAGACGTAGATTAACTTAATAAGCGATTATAGTAGTAAATTAATTATAAAGACTAAGGTTTAAAGTTTATACCTTTATAATCTAGTATCCTAAAATTAGTCTACTTTATAGATAGATCCTTTATAAATAACTCGGATGTAACGTCTTAGCTTAGTTTAGTACTAGTACTAATAAATAGTACTAGATATACTAATATTTTATACTAGAATTTATTAAAGTATAAGAGAGTTACCTAAAGCGTTCTAGTATCAGAACTATACGCTTTAAGCTAGGGATACGATATAGCTATATATATTAAAACTATCTCAATATAATACCTTAGTTATTATATTCTACTTAAAATATACACTAATTCAAAATCTATATTCGATTATATTACTAAATTAGGAACTGCTAAAGAGAAGAGGCTAATGTGACAGACGTGCTTCAGGTAGAACTCAGAACAATTAACACTCTATTCTTAGGACAAAAGACGAGGAAAGAAGGAGAGCTCGATGTCACGAATCACGTAAGCATGTGACAAGTGAAGACCAGGCGGCGTCCTGACAGGTCGAGCACTATCATATCTCTTATAGCAAATAGGGATGCTTAGACTAGCTAAGCGATCCAGGGATTTCATTACATTGTAATCACGTGACCATTTGCATCGCCAGTATCGACAGGCGATGTAGGCGACGGCGGAACATGAAGGTTCTATATAAGACTGGCACGTCTGCCATTAGATAGGAGCTTCGTGCTCAACTTAGTTATCAATCTTATCATATTAGTTTGACATCTTTGATACAAGTAACGAGTTCACTTCCAAGTGAACAACCCGATAGTCTTCTTCTTATCATAGCATACCAACCAGCGAACACCCAGCCAAGTTTAGTTAGCCAGTTTGAGTATTCGTTACACTCGAGAGAGCTGGGAACTAAATACAGGTCGTGCGCGCTAGCGCCTCGCTAAGCGAGCATGTGACATCCAGCCCTCGTGACCATAACCGTCACAGCTAATAGTTAACGTAATATACCTATATAACGTATTTAAAACAAGGGATATCAACGATATCTCCTCAATAGAGGGGAAGGATAATCCGGCTAATTTAATAACTAAATCGAAGTCAAATAGCGCCTTAAAAGGACTAATCGATATAAACTATATCGAGATTAACAGAGTCGAATAGGTAGAACAGGATTAAAGAGTAAGTTATACTATTTAATTATTATTATATTATTGTTTTTACAGTTATTTGTAGAGTTATTTCGTACTTTGTTATTTACTGTTTTTCGGCTATTTTAACTACTTTATAAAGTACTCCTAGTATTACGATATATCTACTACTTTTATTACGTAGATATCGGAAAGCTTAGTATATACAAGTACTTATAGCTAGTACTCGTCCTTTCCATAACATTAATCGATTAACTATTATACCAAATTTTATATGCCTTTGTCACTACTTTTTTGACCCTTATTTACGAGTATCTCTCGTACCAACAGTAAGGGTTGTCTCTAGCCTGGCCTGAAGAATATACAGTACTTTGACCACGATAATTAGATCATCTGTTCTGTTTTATAAGAATACACCGGTATGAAATCAAGCATTACAGTTGGAAGAAGTCTTTGCATTAAAATATATCCCGCCTGAATATAATAATCGACACAGTAAATAGCCAGTGCCAAACCCGATATTCCGTCAACAGTAAATCCGTCTTGGTATCGAATACAGTCTCAATTTCACAATCCCAGATGTCCCACATGACCTCGCCAATCCAGTTCATGTCTGCCACTTCGTTCTTGGTATTTCTCCTCTTCATCCTAATATACATGCGCTCTCCATGAATCCATCAACGGCGGCTGTTCCAAATTCGGCGGCCCCAATATAAGAACCGAAATCGTCGTTCGCGTTCCTCAAGTTCCTCTCGCAGTCGCTCTTCGCGCTGTTTATTCTGGCGATTCCTACAAATAATGCTTGTAGTCGCATAATTCAGATTGCTATCATGAAGAATCAAGGCCATATCCTCCTCATCCACAGTCTGTGGTTGCTTACTCCATTCCAAAATACTAAGAATCGCAACCAGGCAGACTTGAAGATACCATCCAGTCCCAGTTCCAGTAAATATGGCATAACAAATATTACCAAGGCGCGTAATTTGTTCCTCGTTGTTCCAAGTAGGCTCCATCATCTCCACGACCCACATGAAGATGGCTAGGTACGAACAGAAGATAATGTCGGCTAGCAGGAAGACAAATGCTATCTTCAAGAAAATCTTAAATGCCGATACTGATGCGAAAGATACTGATGTCTTTCTCATATCCCAATATCCAATTGCGGACATGAGGGAGGCCATCACAGCAAAGAACCAGAACATCAGGGCGGCGATTTCGTGTTCACCTGGTGCAGGTGATGGATCCAAATGTGGATAGCTTCCATGGTCTTTGGCAAGCTGTTGGACTATGATGAATGTGAGAAGTCCCCTAGCCATTTTGTTGTGTTGGGTTGGTGTTGAAGTGTGAATGTCGATAAAAGGTTATCGCACGTAACATCAATCAGGAAGGATAGCCATGATTCCTATATGCTTTATACTATGTTGAGAGTACACAGCCTTGAGTAGCCTAAGCTTTGACATTTGACAATTCACTGGGTCAAAGAGAGGGAAACCCACAGCTAAAAAGATTCCTGGACCAAAGAAACCCTACCCAGAAAAACATTACAAAATGTGTATAGATGTGCCAGTACTAGTGTGAATAGCGTGAGAACTGGTATAGATGATGAGAGTGTTGAAGGGGGCTCTAGATAACTACAGAATGTAATAACATCAGAAAGTACGGAGCTCACAGTGATCCAGGTGAATAATAAATGGTACAATTGATCCACCTACGCATGAAAAGAAGTCACCAGTCACACATGCTTACAGGATTATATGAGAATAAGGGCAATATAAAGACCATTATGACGCTGTGACACAAATTATCTTAACGGCTGCAATTCTATGAGAGATTTCTGGAATATCGCAGCTAATTCACAGAGTACAAAGAGTGATCAGCCAGTTGAATTGAACTATAATCGAATCTGACTACAGCCATCCGCCATTCCTTGCACGCACTTCATATCCCTTCAATTGAACTATAATCAAATGTGACTACAGCCATCCGCCATTCCTCCCAAGCACTTCATATGCCTTCTTGAGAATGTCCTATTCGGATCAAACATCCAATTTGACATCTTCAGCTTTGAAGCTATTTTTCTTAGCCTCAGAAACGATTTCTCGCTCCAGATACGCAATATATCCTCGATACAACTGGAGCTGTTTGATGGTTGCTGAAAGCTTTTCTGATACGTTGGCGGGGTTGTCCTTGTAGGGGTTGAGCTCATTTTTCCATGATATTTCCACATTCTGCTGACACTTGCGTGGCCTCGTGCATCTTCGCCAGAGTTTGTATCATCTCGTGTACGAGGAACATATTGCTGAATTACTGGAGTTGCTCTTGCGACAGAGAGTTTCGGTAGGTATTGGCAGACTTTTGGTAGTATCTGATAAACAGGTGTCTGGTGGATAGAGCAATGACAAGGAAGCTGTAATAGAGGAAGGAGCCATGACAACTGCTACACGCAAGGAGAAGTGCAGTAGTGATGCAGCTGGGGTTATCGTAATCCAATATCTCCTTTTCCGCCCCTTCAAGGTGCATAAATGCAATCATTGATGAGAAAAAAAAGACGGAAGTGAGGCTGTCCATTGAGAAAGCATTTAGCACTGAAAACACAAGTGCAAATATATCGTAGTCCATAGTGAATGTGACAGATTGCTAAAGCGAAAGTTTTGCACCCAGAGAAGATTGAGACACAAAGTAACGTTTTAAGACAGGGAAGATAAATCGTGAGAGGCACGAGAGAAAGGTCGCGAATGCGTAGATCCACATAACAATTCCAAGGCCATCATAACTGCTCAATGCGATTTGAGAGGTATAGTGAACGTAGAAAAGGAGGTTGACAGCTAAGAGCAGCAGGTAAGGTCAGATAACCAGCTGGAGCACTTCGAAGGAACTTGCAACAGGGAGGCATGCTATATCGGTACCCTTCATATTGATGCCCTGCATATCGGCTTGCTACGTGAATTGGTCGAGATCTTTTAATGGATGAGTCCTTGGAAACTCAGATGGACTTGCTGTGTTGATGGATTGAGAGGTTGGCCGACAGAACCTTGTGATAAAGCGCGTCAGTGATTTTCTGGATCAATCGGTTGACTGTATGATGGGTTTGGTGGAGGTGTACCTGAACTGTCTTGGGAAAGGTTGTTTTGTTTGAAATTTTGGTTTGTTGTGCCAACATTTCATACAGAGGAGAGATCGAACCTCCACGTCGCTTTGTCATGCGCGATACGCTAAGCCAAATCAGCTAACGACTCTCTTAGGATATGTTCCTTCCTGGTTTAACGTACGAAAAGATTGCCAAGTGACAGGGATTGTCAACAATTAAGCGAGATTTGCAAGAAGGAAGCTAGTCTTATCATGTGCCGACTGACTGACTGACTCCCAAAGCAGCATGCTATTGTGGTCCACAATGGAGAACTCCTCATGATGTCTGAAGAACACTTTTTAGTCCATATATTGAGATACTATCTATCAAGGCTTCATGGAGAAAACTTACTGATTGGTGGAAATATTTGCACTGTTCGCCACTCCCATAGACCAAAGAATCTTGCTCTCCTGTTGGTAACCTGAGAATCTTTGAGATCAACAACCCTAAGGACCAGATGTGAAATCAAAAGATGATATTGTACCCTATAACTCTCATGAAATAACAATTAACCAGGACCTATTCAAACCATCAACCTTCGCGCAGCAAAGATATCAGGTCCGCAGTTGATCCCACAATTACCCCCGTTCAGGAACACATATTGAAGCCCCAGAAAATTGCCCTCCATCCATTCATATGGAGAGAATCTCATATACCCAGTCCACATTATGTTCCTCGAGGCTCCAGTTTCTTCTGCTCGCCATTCTTCGCAGAAGCCTTCTCTCCTTCCCCTTCCTCTTCTTTATCCGCTGGTGTGTGCAAGGACGGTGCGTCTTCACCTCCTTCTTCCATCTCTTTGCCCTCTGATGTTTTGCTTTCCAGTGTTTGCGAAGCTGGCATAATACCCTCCTCTAATTCCGTTGACTCCCAGTCCTCATCCACCGCTCTCCTTGTCTCTTGCCTGTACTCTATGATATCCTGAAGTAGAAGCACAAGGAAAGTGCAAAACAAGTAGATGAATATGAAGCAAGCCACAGCAAGAGAGCTGTGATTCATATACAGCCAGTATCCATGGACCAAGTAGTTGTATCTCAGGCAGCTCCAGATTTCAATGATGAGGTTTACTGCTGTGTTGAGGCAGACTAGACCAAAGAGCAAGACGAGTGCGACTATTGTGAACGTTGATTTTCGTTCTCTAGCAGATTCTATCCAGATATAGACCATGAAGGCGATGAGGCAGAACACCTGGAAGATCATGAGAAGTATGGTGTCGTTGACGAGGGCTAGGTCTGCCTTAGAATCCATGGCTTTCGCTGCGGCCCCGGTTTGTAGAGGTATGGTTGGGCCAATCCACATTTTGTGATGTGTCTCGATGGAAATTGGTTGTTCGTTGGTTTAGTGACTATTGTTGATGAGGCTCAGTTGACCAGCGAAGAGTAGACTCGTGCAGGTTATACTAGTTTTGACTAGGTCGGATCTTAAAGGTGCATATGGAGTACGGAGGATGACTGGTAATTTGTTGATAAATATGGCGCTACGATATCCAATTCACTTGCAATGATTTTATGATTCACATACAAATCTGATTTACTTTGCATGCTAAGAGAGTATTTATTACTAGGTGTAGATTTCAAGATTGCACAATCTTTAATTCAGTGTAATTTTGTGCTGGGTTATGAAAAAATATTCCATCGTCTGTTTGGCTAGTTTTACCTGGTGGAAATCCAGGTAGACCTTTTGTAGCAAATATACACTACAGTAAGTTGGTACTCCATACTATCTACCCCACAGCTCCTTCTACAGCCTATCCTCATCACAGTGTACCCGATATAGGGTTACTACTAATACATATTAAGACTCAGGTAAATTTCAGGGGGTACTAAAAGGCGCAAAAGAAGGGTGATGGAGTAGGGGATCGGCTTTTATATCTCACACGTCTTATTATATATTTTGGGCAGTATCTTCTAGACGGGTCGGTCATTTCTTTGATCAGGATTCAGCACCCCAATGTTTTTTACACCAGAATTTACACCTGAAAGGTCGTGCACGTACTTGACGCATCCAAAAACGTGACTGACCCGTCTAGGAGATACATCTATATAGACATGTAAATAGACTTACAAATACTTTTGCTCATCTTGAAATATGCGAGCTAAAAAGGTCCTCGAATTACCGTTGTCGGCGCCCTCTTAACATTACGCATATGGTCCTCTTCCCCGCAAAGAAATCCCATTTTTAACTGCCTCGAACCCAATATGCCATATAAAACCATATTCTCAACTGAATTCCACCCCGCAATTCACGTTCATGCTACTCAAGCTACCTAAGCCATCCCTTCCAACACTACCCCTTTTCATTTGTTTACTACATCGGGCCCATAAAATACCTCCCCAAATTGATTCAATTTCGTTTCAACCTATTTTTGCTCCCTCTCATTGCCGTCCTGCATATGGTTTACTTTGAAGAGAAGATAACCTCAGTAGTATCTCAGTGTAAAGGCGCTCACCCGAGAAGGTGAGGGGCATTTGACATGCTGAAAGCGAAAAGGAGAATATTTTCCAAATTCTAACTTTTGAAGTCGTCTTTTCTCGAGAATGGTATCTGAACGAGGAATCCGATCCCATAGCATTTTCTCAGAATCCTTGGTAAGCACTTGAATTTTATAAAATAATCTTCCTGGTCCTCAGAACAACTTCCACATTACCATTGCCATTTAAAGCCTAAACATTGATGTTAGTATCATCTCTTCCACTTGCAGATAAACCCTTTGAACCATGATCGATGCCATCATTCAACAAACTTGTGAAGCAGTATAAACCCACATGAAAGATTGCATAAATCTACAATACTCGATATCGATCTTAAGACTTTACAATTGCTAAGTGATTGATTGAGACCCATTGAAGTCGTCACTCTTGAATTCTACCAATGCGATATCGCCTCAAAACTGCTTTTCACGCCCTTAAAGTTCCTGCCAAATCATATGCCGAGAATAATGCAGAGTGTATACTGTGTATCAAAAGCCAGATTGTGACACGATTGACTGCATGCTTTATCGTGGAGACTATGGACTCTGTAGATTGCCAACACTTGGCTGAGTATGAAGACTCGCCTATTATTTTACCCCTATCTGTCTCATACAAGACGACGCTAGATTAGGTACTCGTAACGGGCGCTGGTGGGAGGTTACGAAAGGTACGCCACAGTCGCGTCACGCTACTATAGGACAAGACAACTAGCCCGAACCCGAATCCGAGGGGGACCGAGGGGGATCTTAACTTCAAGTTTTCTAAAGAATAAGAAACGAAATGACACAGAAGAGTCAATATAAGAATGATTCCACAACAGTCAGGCAAGCGAGGGGTAGATACCCAAGAGTCTCTCCACCAGAAAAGGGCCAATCACAGGCATAGGAATATCGCTGACTCCGGCAAAACCCCGTGCCTCGGCTTTGGCAACTCACGACTAATCGCATAATCTGGGGGTTATCTCACGATTCATTCCCCAAGCCTCTGTAGATCTCACCGCTCGACTCAAGTTCATTCCTGCTACAGTATTACGACAGTCGCTTCATACCTAGTCTGCGAGTCCAAGAGTAAGCCGTCTCGTCCAAACAAATCTCAAGCTTTTGCGAATCCTAAACCACGTCGCGACCATGTCAAAGGAATTCACCACCATCGAGGTCTCAGAACACAAAGATGCCGACAAGGGAATGTACATCATAATAGATTCTAACGTTTACAACGTTACTGGTAAGTGCTCCTGTCTACCTGTCTCCCGTTGTGAGAAACTCAATTGAGACGAGAAACACGCTAACTCTCCTTCTCCAGAGTTCGCAGAAGAACACCCCGGCGGAGCCAAGATCCTCAAGCGTGTAGCCGGTAAAGACGCTAGCAAACAATTCTGGAAATACCATAACGAAGGAGTTTTGAAGAAGTACAGTCCCAAGCTGCAGATTGGCACGGTGAAAGAGGCGGCCAAGTTATAGACGTGTTGAGGGGCGAGATGTTGGTCGGTCGTTGGAGATGGGGACAGTTCGACGACAATGCTACTATTAGATACGAAATGATTTGGGTGGATAATGAGATGTGGCATATACCATGGAGAGGACTTTCAAATGGATAGAAAGCGACAGCTTTTAGAGCGTATATGATAGATGGTCTTTCATATTTTTAGATTTAATGATCATAGGAAATGGGACGCAGAATTTCCAATAATGACTCGAATGACGGGGCGCAAGAAACGGTATATATGGGCGATCCGTAAGTCAATAAACCAAGCGAACGGATGCAATCCTCAATTTTTGGAGACAAGCCGCGTAATACGAAAGTATGGATGGTTGTTTACACAAGCAGAGCAGAATCAGCTGAACCAGAAACTGGTTATGAGATAATACAAATACCTATATTACAGGTCAAACTAACTCCCTCCAACCTCAATCTTTCTTTATCGGTTTCCTGCCAACAATAAAGAACATGGGAGTAAAAATCCCCAATTTTCCTCCATCTCTCATCCCAAAAACACCCATACTAACCTCCTCCATAGCAATGATCGTCTCCCTATTCACGAGTCCAAGAAGAGCTCCCAGCCGGAATATCCAACACGCAATCGCAAAAACCCATTTCTTCAGACAGAAAACCTTCACCCAGTCCTTCCAAGTACTGAAGCTGGACATATCCCCATCAATAGGTTTCCACCAGGCCTTACTATCCTCTTTCGTCACGATGCTCATATCCTGAGCACGAACGAGCTCGAAGCCTGATTCTTTAAGGGCTTTCTTTGCGTCGGGCTCGCCTGTGATAACGTGACAGCCTGTTCCGCGTTCGATGCGGAGCTTGACGGCGTTGTGGTGGGCGTTAAATGGATCGTATTTTGGGGTCATGAGGAATTCGTAGGTTCCGAAGAGGGCTCCTGGTTTCAGGGCTCGATAGGCTTCTTTGTAGACGTCTTTGAGATGAGGTGCGTGGACTGTAGATTCGATGGCGTAGACTGCGTCGAAGTGGTTATCTGGAAATGGAATATTCTATTCATTGAGGATCAACACAGATTCCCAATAGAGAATGGAAGTGAAGGAACCATACGCAAAAATCCGCTTCCTCAAACTTCACATGCTCATCCCCCAGAGTCGACAACTTTGTCAACACCCTCGCCCTGGCAACGTGAAATTTATTTATCGTGATCCCAGTCACATGCACACCAGCAAACGCGGCAATCTCTCGAGCCGGCTCTCCAATCCCACACCCGATATCGAGGACTCTCATCCCTGGCTTCAATTCCAGGTTGAGGGCGAGAAAGAACTCGTGACGGGCAAGCCCGGCGTCGAGAGATTCCCCGGGCTGAAGGCGACAGAAATGAAACTTACGACCCCAGCCATCCTCATAATTGTCGGTTGCCAGGTCGTAGTATCTATTCTTGTGTCAATTCCTTGTTCATGTGTAACTGGGTATCAACGTACGCGTTTCCGAGTTTCGACCCTTTCTCTTTCCTCTTCTCGAGGTTCTTTTCAGTTTTATTTTCCACATCCTCGGATCGCCAGAATTTGCGGTAGATGGAACCCGTGTTTTCGGTTGCTGTGGTGGTCGCTGACATTTTACTTGTCTCTATGTCGAAATTTTGAGCTCAATGAATGGAGATTGTTCGGAAGGGGGGGTATTGGTACATCTTCGAGAAGGACAAAATAAAGGAGTGGCGATGTAGAGTGTACTACATGGCCTTGATTTCTTCATATTGTTGTTAGACATGGCGTTTATTCTGCACTTGGAATTCTTTCCGGTGACAAAGTGAGCTTTGTGGGTGCTTCATATTGTTCTTGTTTGAGAGGGATGGGTGCCAAGGTTTTATGAGGGTTCGCTACAGAACCGTTTTTGAAAACAGGGATAAAGGGAGAGATAGGTATTTGGCGAAGTAGTAGTGACAGCGCAGACTTTCTTCATGAAGAATTCATGTTGACCATCTGAGAGGCCTCTTCTCTCAGGAAAACAACTAAAGCCCGAAAATTCATTCGCATTCAAGTTCCAACGTTCTAGGGCAATTAAGAAAGTCATCCATCAGAAAGCCTTGAAATTTTAGATACTATCGTGTGATTATACCGTATTACTTCAATTAAGAAGGTGGACAGGAGCGTAAATATAAACAGAGGAGCACCTCTTTCTCTGCTAAAGCTAAAACGGAATCTTTTCCACGAACTCTTCATTAGTCACGAGAGATAAAATGACAAAGGAAAAATAACCTTCAGGCAGAACCACGGCTCAACATCGTTTTTCTAGAACTTCTCTCAATTGAATTGACCTGGGTGGGAAAAACATACCCCGCCAACAAATGCCGACTTGGCAACCCGATGATTTAAAAGGAAAAATGTAAGCACCGACTTCGGATTTTCTTTAGGTTTGAAAGGAACGAATGCGACGGATTTTACAGATAGGGACTAGAGACGTCTCTATAAAGAAAAGGCTCATCTAGACTAAAAGGTATGACTGTAGGGCAAAGCTACTTGCTTATAAGCGTGAAAATCCCGATCACCCCCGCGATGCGATAAGGTTAATAATAAGCTTCAAATGACGTTTTTGTAGAAGCAACACTACCTAGAAGCATCGTATCCGAAATGAATTCAACTTGAAACGTTATATGAGTAAGACAGTAGTAATGATTCAAAGGAAGGTCATCCTTGTACATTCATTATTACTGTAAAGGGTATATGTTTTGGCACTGTGTTGGTAAGCGTGAACTGCGAGCAGGCCGTTTCGTGGAGGGGTAACGTCCAGAAATAGACGCCAGCAGATTAGATTAAAAAGATAAGGGAGTTACAACTACAGTACAGTGGGTTTATACAATACAGGACACCCAAAGTGAACCACACTAAAACTAATTCTCGGCCACTTCAAGACTTCCACCACAACATTTTGATCAATGGAAATATCTATGACAATCGCACTTCCTTACTTGCCTGACAGTGCAATCTATCTTCCTATGCAAGTAGCCTTCGCGATCTCGATTTGGATTGATATTTTTAACAAGCCGAGACTCATTCATGATCGCCTTTTCCATTATCTTACACACACACGCCTCGTTCTGATATCCCATTCATGATTTTCAGCCCGGCATCCACACGTGGGAGAACTCTAAGGCTAACTCGTCCGATTAGCTCGCTCTCCACACCGCTGGGCTGCGCGTCGTTCAAGGATTAAGCCTTTCCAACAACGCTGTCTCCCCCGTTGATTACACGCAAGGATTTCATTTTTGGCTACCGGCATGGCACCGTTGATCCCCTCTTTAGGCAGATGGGTTTTTAACATGAGTACGGACCATGTCGGACACCCTAAATAGTATACATGAATTTGTGGCTCTTATTGTCTTTTGATATGTCCGGAGCAGTTTAGTAGGTACAGGAGAAACTTTTCACATGATATTTTTCACGGCGCAAAGAGCTGAGCTATTTTACATTTAGGGGTGTACCCGAAGGTGTCCGATTAAAGGTGCATTCGGGTACCTCGAAGAAAGCTTACCTTATCGGCTGATATACTTAGTGTATTGACTCTGTGTGATGTATTTACAGAATCCAGATGAGGATGCTGCACCCTGTCAACTCACAATAGCAAACCCTCGCTTAAGATGTCAACTCGGCGGAGCGCACAATGCTTTGCAATCAATGACCCGTACGAGACGCCCTAGCTCTTTCATCGTCTTTGTCTTGCCCAATGAGGGCCTCCAACTGGATGCATTCGGATGTCCACGGATTCGGTATTTGTCCCTAAATCCGGGTGTATATACTATTGCTTCCTTTCGACATGGCAGACTATGCCACATAGAGATCAGCCTGCTCCAGACCAAGGCATACATCGGATTGCGTGCTATATGGACAAGGGGTGGACGGGCCACGTTGAGTCACAGCCCAACCCAAGTATGGGAACAAAGGGCGATGAAAGGGCATCGCGATGGCGCCTGTATGAATCAAGAAATGTACAGGGAAGCTACCTATGACAATACTTCCTAATTCAGTGTAATCGGTGTCACTGCGAGGTGGAGGCGTCGCTTAGTGGCTAAGAGGGGGCTTCATCCAGGCCAGGGCATACCCTGGTGTAGCTGTAGTGGATTTTCTCCCGCAAACTCCATTCCGACGCCGAGGCGCAACGAAAACATCGCATCGCACGCAGCATTTCTCTGGATGGATCGCGATGCATCGAACGCGCCATGGATCCTTTGCGAGAATGACTGACTTGTGTGGATGTCATAATCTTTGCGTGGGACCCGTACCAAGTATACTGATACTGATACTGTTACTGTTACTGTATTCACACTGCCGCGCATCGACTCTTGCTCCCTTACCCTACAGAACTCTTGCCGCTTGCGCGTACTGGTACTCGACTACCTACTACCTACTACCTGTAAAGATAAACAGTCTCGTCCGCCTCGTCCGCCTCATCCCTTCCTCCCTTCCCGCCTACCCTGGTTCATCTTACATCTATCTTCATCGGTCTCCCACAAGACCAAGACCTTGACCTTCTCAACCGCTCTTATGGACCATGGCTCTGGACATCACTGCTTCTCGAATGCTGCGTAAACGCAGATTTACGTTTCGTTCTATTTGAAGCCCTTGAAACAACGAATTGCGTTGTCATCGCCTTTGATATCATCTTGGCCATAAACCTCAGATATATGAACTCGGTACCGCAACGTAGGCATTCAAAGCATTTGGCCAGTCGAAAATCTATTCTTCTGTCCATTCACGTATCGTTCTATTCGAAGCCCTTGAAACAACGAAATTACGTTGTCATCGCCAGTTATATCATCTTGGCTACAAATCTAAGATATATGAACTCGGTGCCGCATCGTAGGAAGTCAAAACATTTGGTCAGTCGAAAATCCATTCTTCTTCTCCTCTTCTGTCCATTCTCCTTTCGGTCATCCCCCTGTTGTTGGACGGTTTCTAATTGTCAAAAGCCCCAATTCCCTTGCGAGTGGCCGTTGGAAAGACTCGCAAAGTCGCAGAGCCAACAACAACCGTAGACCTCGAGCTAGGCTCAATACCTAACACGTCGCCGCATATTACGCAATCCAATCCTCTTACCAAGATGACGATGGACAACCTCATCCAGAACAGCGAGGTTTACCTCTGCCACCCTCCACACACCCCACCAATGCCACCTCCATCTCCACCCTCTTCAGCAACACCAGATGAAGGACTCCCTTACATCGAGGCATTGGGATCAATTGCGCCTCTAAAAACAGAAATATGCGGGGCGCTCTTTGGCAATAGACTAGATACAGCACACCACGTTTTACGGACGGAAGCTTCAGCACTTGAGGCTCTTACCAAACTCTACGCGAGCGACGCAGTTGCGCAAGAAGGATTTTATTATGCAATCGAGGAGATGACAAAATGTAAAAGGAGGAGAGGAAAGGTTATGGTGACCGGAATCGGAAAGAGTGGTCATATTGGGAAGAAGCTTGAAGCAACTTTGAACAGTCTTGGGATAACCGCTGTTTTTATTCACCCATCCGAGGCAGTACATGGGGATCTTGGCGTTGTCTGTCCTGAAGACATCATCCTTTTTATCTCGAATTCGGGAAAAACCGCTGAACTCATTCAGACCCTTCCTCACTTCAGTCCTTCACTACCAGCACTCATCATTACTGAGGCTACCTCTCCCGAGGCCTGTGAAATTATCAAACAGCGCCCTGGTACAATCCTCCTACCAGCACCCCTACCAATCTCCGAGGAAGCTGCTTTCGGAGTTAAAGCGCCTACGATATCTACCACTATGGCGCTAGCGCTTGGTGATGCGCTCGCCATTGCAGCATCAAGAGAATTATACTCAAACTCGCTCTCAAACGTTTTCCACAAAAATCACCCAGGAGGAGCCATTGGAGCTGCGATCAAGAACATCCAAAAGATCCAGAAAGTCTCCGATAGAGCTGTTCCATTGATAGATATCCCAGATTTCAGCCGAACATCAACAATCTCACAAGTTGGATTTGCGGCCTTCCAGTCGGAAAGCGGATGGATTCGAATGGGTAGTGATGTTGTCGTCCCACCTCGATGTATCAAGAACGTCCGAACTTCCAACACGGAGATTCCAGCAATATCGATACCAGGCTTGACGGCCTCAAGAAGGGACTGGATCCAGGTGCCGTCTGATCGGGATGTTTCCGAATTGCAAGACTGGATCAGAAGTATGCGACAATCTGCTCCTGGGGGTGACGCGATATATCACGACGGTGTGGTATTGGTTACCATGGAAGAGGATGAGATGTGTGGTGTGATGGAGATTGGAGACTTGATGGCATGATTACCGAATCTTTTCCGCTTTGAATTTTCGCACATATCTCATCTCCGGGCGTTTTTATGTTTTGGCACTTTTTGGATGGGTGGCCAGTTTATTATTTTTTTTTGGGGAAATCTGGATTTTGAGGGAAGAGCTAGAGCAGCCTCGTCGTCATATCTGCTTTTTTGTGTGTGTTTCCTTTTTGGCCTTATGCGTTGACTATCTTCAACACGCTACTCGTACCTCTGGTTGGAACACAAATACAGCTATGTCAGACCTTTTTAGATTTCTTTTTTGGATGGATGGTGGTTTTGGATGTGAGCTTTTTGATCACTTGTTCATTAGGGTAGATGATTCCTTGGGTAGAGAGACGGAGGATATGATACAAATGAATCTAAAAGTTACTGTATGAAGAAGACTTTTCTTCTCCCCTCCTCTCAGAAAGCTCTTTTCCCTCTCCCTTTCAGAAAGTGTTTTGTTCTATCTTGTTCCCTATCCCTTGATAGTACCTCGACGCTTAAACCTTGGAACTGGGAAAATTCTCCGTCGTTGTTTATAGATCTGAACCTTGATCTGCGATACGATATTTATCATTTCCTATTTTCCGATGTCTTGGTCTTGGGTCCTGGGACTGGGTCTGGGAGTCCATGGTGGGACGGGGTGTAAACAAAAGTAAAGGGAACATGGACGTTGGAGTTTGGATTGGGTTGGCTTGGGTTTCTTGGGACTGAGATTTGATGTTTGAGTTTGTGGTATGTGTTGGGATCGGTTTTTATACGGATTGAATTGTAAGGAGGAGGATGTAGAAGGGTCTTAAGAAGTTTAGTTGGGTATATGACTACAGAATGTTGGGTACCTATCCTTTGAGACTTTTGGATGTTTTATTTTGGTGGGAATTGGTTTTTTGGGGTTGGAAACTATTACAATAGGTAAGAGTACGTTGTATTGAGATGTAGAAGGCTATGTTTATAGGCTGTGAGGGTTTTGTTTGTTGGATTTATTAGATTGGTTGGAAATTAGGATGGGTTGGTTCTGGGTGATTTTGTGTTTTGAAGTAGGGTGGTGGTTGGTACACCGGTGGTATTTTTAATTATGATTGTGTGAGAGAGAGAGAGAGAGGTCTACGCACCTACCATGGAATATGTCCTCTTAGGTAGATGAGTCTAGATCATATACAGTACAGTCCCTTCACTTAATTAGGCAGAAACAAGGGTTTTGTACAAATAGTAGCACATTTGACTTGACATATATTCCTAGATAAGTAAGTCACTTTTATCCTGTTCAACCCTGACCTTAAGGCCAAATAGTGAAAGCATAAAGCTGAAAAGTGCCCAGTTAAGCCAAATAATAGTAGAAATCCAAAACAAAAACAAACTACACAAAAAGGTCTAAATGTACATAAAACCTTCTTGCTAATTAAGCGAAGGGACTGTACAAGAAACCGAGCTACCTAAGCTGAAGCTCTTATTATAGTTGAAATGCATTAGATTTGGTGTTAGCATGAGATAGAAATCGCTACTAAGGCTAAACTATGGTAGTTTCATATGAAGTTATAGATAGCGGATTAAGAAGTCTAGCACGTGACTTTCAGCTAATACGATTCTCGAGATACCTAAATGCTAATTTGGTATCTTGGTAGTATTTATTGCAAAGATGTTATGCTTATGTAACTCGTTCTATTTATTGGAGTATTTTCGTATTACTTAACTCATGTGGCGAGATGAACTTGTGATACCGACCTGAGTAGTCACGTGCTCGCTAGCATTATTCCCACCTACTGGGCAGCGTGGAAGATTGCGGTTCCTTCAACTTCCTTCAACCTGGATTCAACACAACGGCAAACACGACAACGAAATCAACAGCATCTCGTATTAGCATACTGGCACCGATTTCAAGTCGTTTGAACGAAGAATAAGATATGAATCACATGCCGTAGAAATGGCCCCCAAAATACTACCCCGGGGGCTGCATGGCCAACAAATAGAACAGCCTTGCTTACTTCGCCACTAACATAGCCTCCTATCTTCTTCTCTTCCCGAAATATCGAGCACTAATATACTATCAGGCTCGAGCTCATTTGTGTTATTTCTCAATTCTTTAGCTTGCTTTTTAACAATCCCTTGTTCGACTTCCTCATTCAGTTTACACAACACAACAGAAACCTCCACCGTGTGTAACCCTGATGCTCCGGAATTTTCAGCAATGGCATTGTCTTTCGGAAAAGTCTCCGGTGCTATTGCCGCGATGCACAATGAGACCACCGCTGCGTTGGTCAATCTCAACGCAGATTTCACTTTGATCAAGCTTGAAGCGCCAGCCGAATACTCGGCTTTGGGAAACACAATTTCCACGAAAAGAAAGACCGACGCCGAGGAAGGGACACTTCACAGGACTGCGCGAAGGTTGGGAGCCCTCTTTAAAGATGTTCTCCCCTCAACGGACGAACTATGTCGGGCCTATGGGACTCGAGTATCAGAGATTTGTTCGATGCTGCCTACTACAACCACCCAGGAACATCTTGGAATATTTGGCAGCCATCTAGGACTGGACATCACCAGTATTTGGGCTGCAGCCACCTCTGGAAGCGCGGCAATTCAGGCACATCTTCTTGCCTGTATGCTTGCAAGGATTTTCCCAAACCAAGAAGCCATTTCGCTATGGGTCGAATTGGTCGAAAAGCGGAAAGAGTGGATTCGTGTTAAGCAAGGCAATACTCTTTATTCGAGTGACCATCATAACGAGATCATGGCCAGCCAACAAGATATATCCCGGAGTGACCTTGCTACTTGGGATTCTAACGCTCGTGCTTGGCTTCAAAGCGCAGATCAAGCCAAACAACGTCAACACATACAAACGATGCTCATCTTGAACAACGCAAGCGTTCCTGTCAACAGCGAACCCCAGACTTACGATAGCTTAATGAAAGCTTGGACGACGGCTTTGGAAGCGATGAATTTCCTCGTCAAAGGCATTCCTCAAAGAGTACAAGACAGCGCAACATTATTAGCAGTATCGTCCTGGCATCTCTATCCCGACATGATTGTCCATGGTACTACTCATGCCGATGTAAGGCAGCAAGATCCATTATTCCCGACTGGATTGTTCCTTACTCTTGGACTACAACATGTTTGAGATGATACAAAGAGTGTGTATTGGTCTTTGCCGCTTGCTTGCATGCAATTTTATGGGCATCCAGTACAAGCCGTCAGGGCAATAGGGCCAGAAATAAGCGTATTACTTGCGACCAGTTTGCCTATGTCATTCTTGGGTGTCTATTTGGTGGGTGGAATGAATATGCAGTAAACGATGAAGATGGGCTAGAGCGACTAGGGAGAATCACTGATCTGATGAACATTCCTTTAAGCTTGCGGTTCAAGCATTCAAAAGCCCACACCTGGCTTATTTATCTTGCCGTTGTAGCGCAGAATTATCTTGAATGTGAGGAGGAAGAGAGAACTGTGGCCCAGCAGCTTGTAAACCTTGGCAGGAGACGGTCAACATTTCTCTACCCACGCCATACTTTGCAACCTCCACCGCCTTTCGGGCTGTCAACTCTTTCCGGCTTACTGAAAGTTCTCAAAACCCCCGATCAAAGGGTCCATTGCTTGAGAAGATGGGTTACGATGTCAAGTCAGAGTGGCGCTGACCTCATCATTCGATATTCGGTTCACAACAGTGATGTAACTTGGGTTGAATATGCAAGCACTGTCCCTACCAGCTCTCAGTCGCCGCTGAAACGGACTTCAGATGGAAACCTCAAAGCAGCAGAATCGTTACCTGCCAAGAGTTTTAGGTGGCTGTATGTTTCTCAATATCAACTGACACTGTTCGTACAATATTGTGACGACTTTCAGGACGTTGAGGCTGCAAGAGAGAAGCTGTCCAGGATGAAATCGGCATACACGCCTGTCGACTCTACACCGACTCACCCTTTCAGTAACGAGAACATCAGGTACTGCAAAGAGATTGAAGAACTCAGAGAAGTAATTCTGTATGCCCAGCAACACCATTACATACAAAGTCTTGGAGAGGTATACTTTCCAGTCATACAAGACGTAAAATAAGATAATTTCAAACGTGAATTGGACACAAGACTATGTTTTCCCACGTCAAAGGATTTTGTAGAAGCATCCCAAGAGCTTCTGGCATCACTGCTCAAATCGCCCCTGGAATCAGGTCCGGTCACAATGCCATTGATGTACTACCCTGGAATACATTCGGTATGTGGCTTATATTCTCTGACGCACCGAAATAGGCAGTCTCTTCATGATATTCATCTCAACCCATTATTCGTGGACGAATTTTTTCAACCCGACAAAGTTGAGCCCGGACTACTTCAACAGTATTTTTCGTTCGCAGATCCCAATGTCAGGTTTCTCGTCAGACATCTCACAGCATGTGCTATGATGAGTGAGGTCTATCATCTTCTTCCTGGAGCTGAAATATCGACGGCTGTCTTGAAAACATGTCTGGCAGCAGCCAAATGGGTACACGAAGCAACCGAAACTCCAGATAGCGCGGGGTTGAATATATCGCAAGCCTTCGCATGCATTGCTATGTTAAATTCCGGGACATGCAATTTAGCCCCCGAGAGCCTCTCTCATGTCTTTGCCCTTTCGTCAGGTAATTCTCTTTACATACTTGCTAGCTTGCTCTGCGATCCTTTCGAGAGGCCACATGCCTCGGAAATTAGAAGAGTGGTAGGAAACGTTGGAAGACCGGGGATGACCTTCCTAATCTCACCCCCCGAAGTCAAGACACGAGAAGCAGACCCGGGACAATGGATGGCCATAAATCACTCTGCTTTCGATGGCCAACCAGCAAACCACTTCGGGAATACTTCTATTCATCTGTCGTTCACGAATTACAAGAACCCCTTGATCCCAGATGAAAACCATCAGCATCTCATTGACCGCGTCTTCGTGCTTGTTGAGACACTTGTTTCAGTTTTTGATGGACAAGCCTGGGTTGGCGAAGTAGACATCTTGAAAACTTTCAACCATCATGTTATCCAACGGGCTGTCAACGATCAGTTCTGTTCTCATGCAGAAAGGGGTGTTTCTTATGAGGCGGTTGTGCGCAAGTTCTCACGTCTTGCTGCTACAAGTATTGAAAACTGGGACGAGCTGATCGAAGCACCGGCCTCTGGTACTATTGTTGCGAAGCGCATAAAAGTTGGCTTGCCAGGCTCGCGATTACGGCCATGGCTGTGAAATATGGGTTTGCCCCTGTTATATTGCCTGTAGACCCCTGTTGGCTTTGTTGCTCGAGAAGTTTTCTTGCTAGCAGAGATAAATATGCCTTGGTATGGTGATTCCCTTTGATGGTTCGTAGGGATTACGAGTGGAAGAATGACAAGGTGGGAATGAAATATTGTACGTCCTTTTGCTAGAGCAAGCTTTGGATTTCCTGGATATGTAACTTATTGGGACAGAAGTAAAAGATTTAGGAACTGAGACGATGAGATTTAAGTTCTGACAATGCGAAGGAGTTTCTATCACGGCCTTTTATGAACCTAGGTAGCGTTTCTGCGATTTTGTTAGGGGATTTCAGAGTTAGTGAGATTTATTCTTCTTCAAGGGATCTTTTAGGGATTTATTCTGTTATGGGATCGCAAGGAAAATGGGTCTGATTCGTCTCTCTCTCTGGTATAGGGGATTAAAGGTTTAGCAAGAAATACGTCAGAGTAAATATCTAAAAAAGTAATACTCAGTGCGCTTGAACGTAGGGAAGAAGAGAAACTAGTTATTGAACGATACTCCTAAAGCTATCTTATTGGTTCTTGTAGCTTTTCCAGGACGTTTTATTGAGTTGGAAATGGCTGGTAGTATTTCACAGTTTTGCGTGCAATAATGTATGCGCCATGGATGTTTAATTTCATAAATACGTAGCATTATGTATTACAGTGACTTGTTGTCCCAGATCAAGAAGTAATATTAGTCGGTCTTATTCACAGAAGTCTCTTCGTTTCCAAAAAATACTCTTGCAGTATGGTCTTTGATTCTAATTTTCAAGAGGCTGGTTTCTAAGCATTTTCATTTGGTTCCGCTACAAATACGCTGCAGCTCGCTAACCCTTGATTGGAATTTTCAAACGGGGCTCAAATACTCGAAAAACTGATTCGCAAAGCCTGGTTTCGCATTTCTTCAAGACCCTGCGCCACTTTCAGAGCACCATCTTTTACCTGCTCAGCTGCGCGCGTAAGAACCATTATATCACTATTCTCATTTCTTCCTGGGGAGGAATCTTCAGGTGTTGACTCAGCCCCATGTTTCTGGATCCCGCAAGCGAGCTCTGTGGCAAATCTGAAGAGTTGTGAGCCAAAATTAACGAATAGGAGCATCTGCATCGGTACGGCTGCTGAGGGGGGTGGAACATAGCCTCCGATTTTTAACTTTGGAATGCGTGCGGTCTCGAGAGTTACATGTCGGGAATTCATGTCGGTACCGCTTGGTATGAAGCACATTTTCATGTGGTGCAATAGTGTCTCGTAGATTCCAATCAGACGTAGGTGAACTGAAATAATGAGAAGGATGGAAGAATAATCGAGAGTTGAGTTTTCGTGGGCTTTCTTAGATCCAGAGGAATCTGGGAGAGAAAGCTGGGAGGGTTCGATGTCAGTATTTGACAATAGATTGCTGGGCCAAGACTGGTTCGCATTTGACAATTGGGGCATAGGACGTGTCATGAAGACTTCTAGAAAGGTTGGATAGATATCGATGAGAGCTTGGGTAAGGCGAAAAGTGTCCTCCAAAGCATACGTTGAGCCATGTAGTTGATTATTTTCTGAGCCAGGAGATGCATCATAAGTGATGATAGGAGGAACAGTGCTGCTATGTTCAAAGAGGTCGACGTTCAATTGCGAAAGTCTTCGAATAGGGCCACCCTTCAAATTGAGCCTATCTAATACGTCAGGGGTCCCGACTGATAATCTTTCAAGGATTGACCGTGGTTCTCAAATTTCGTTGACTTTGACGGCCATCACATGGTTGGACAGTTGGCCATCAGTTATCTCGTGTAGGGGGTGAAAGCTAGTATCGATAATTTCAGATAGCTCTGGGGTATTTCCGGCATTGAGAGTACTGGTTTCTATGGGTAGAAAGGGATTTTGGTTGGCCCAATCCAGGTCGTAGAGTGTGGGATCGTGAAAATCGTAGGATTGTGGTAAGGGGCTTTCACTGGCGATAAGTTCGTCATTTGTAAATTGAGACGATACTTCAAAAGTCGAATGTTGGCCGATGCCTATGATCATCATGAGTTGTACTGAAAATGATATCTCAGAGGAATCAACTTACCGAGTGGCTCCTCTGTTTGTAAGCTCAAACGTTGTCTCTTGCGGTTGTACTTGTTAATATCTTGGCTACTCGATTCGTCCTGCTCATTTGAGGAGGCCGCTAGAGCGCTGGTAAAAGTTGTACTTTTATGATTTGCATTTTCAAGGGTTTTCATCTGCCTAAAAGGACTGATGACACATTATTTCTGGGCTTTTAAGCAGCGGTTGCAGGCCGCTTGTCCAGGATTGTCGAGCTACGGAGTCCCAAAATCAGCACTCTGACTCGCAGATAGAAAGCTTGGTACTGTAAGTGTAAATAGCGAGCATGCTTACGGAGCATTTGAGCTTATGAGCATGGCATCTGTCACAAGCAGCACGTCGGCGAATTTCGTCGGTCATTGCGGTAAGGTATGACTTTGCTCAATGTGATGCAAATCTAGCTCAGAGATGTTGGCAAGAGGTTGGCCACTGAATGCAACTTCGGCGTTCGCTTGTGTTCATATCAATTGTGGCGTGCCTTTAGCGAGTGTCAATGTGCATGGTTAGGTTGTGACCCAATATCGAATTTGGCATTCCCATTTCACTTCTAGCAATGCCGATGTACTCGAAATCCCAACACTGCTTTTTTGCTTTTCGTCCTCACCGTTCATGCAGATTCTGTTTCCTATAATCGGCGGTGTATGGACAGCAACGTGCACAACACCGAATATTCGGTGGTTCGGCGTTCAGTTCAGCCTGCAAACAACATCAACATCAACATGCTAATTATATCTTTATATAATTTGAAGATGTTTTGTAAGATACCTTACTGATGTAAATATTCAAGCGAGAACTACTATTGCTTACTTTGATTGCGCCTTTCGTGTTGTTTGCTTCATTTTCTTCCTCTTTGCAACGATTTATCCCTTGACTGCCTCATGTCTTCTCTTGAGGTCAATGACAAAGACCACTCAGATTATACTGCAGCTGAGAATGATCAAGTTGAAGCCCAGCATCGTGGGTGGCGGTTCTATATGATCTTCGTTGCCCTTTCAATTACAGCTCACCTCTCCTCCATTGAAGCAACCATCATATCAACTGCTTTGTATTGTCAACAACCTCAATGTGGCAATAAACATGTCTGGATTTCAAATGCATACTTCTTGAACTGGTGAGTTCGTATACAGTTTCATTCAACTCATCGTATTACTCGTGCTAAATCTGATGCAGCATGATGGTGCAGCCTCTTTACGGCCAACTTGCAAATATCTGGGGTCGACGATGGCCTATGATCTCTAGTGGGGTTCTTCTGATCCTCGGAAGTGCTACTTGTGGATGGGCTACGAGCTCTTCGATGCTAATCGCTGATCGATCTATACAGGGTTATGGAGGCGGATGAATCAATTTGCTTGTTGAGCTTATTGTGTGCGACCTGGTTCCTCTTCGCGAACGGAGTAAGTTTATGGGGATTATCATGGGTACGTTGAATTACTAATCACCAACACAGAGTATTATTGCAGCAGTTTGCTTCCCGCGATTCAAGCTGCACTTTCAGACGACGACGCAGCAGCCTCAGCTGTGCTCTTTGCCATTATCAGAAGCTTCGGCACTGTCTGGGGTATCACCATCCCAGTGGCGATTTTCAATAACCAATTCAATAAACTTCTGTATCGTATTCAGAATTCCACCGCCAGAGCCACATTGTCGAATGGTCAAGCATATAAGCATGCGACCAGGGATTTTATCTCTGCATTATCAGAGCCTTTGAGAAGCCAAATAATTGTAGTTTATTCTGATGCGCTAAAGACTGTGTGGTAGGTCAGCATTGCAATAGCTGGTATTAGCTTTACTATCGTGTTTGTTGAGAAGGAACTCAAGATGAGAACGGAACTTAATACTGAGTATGGGTTGAAAGACACGGCAAAATTTGTTCCAGAAGGTTCACTTAAGGCCAAAGCCTAGGCTGCCTTAATACTGCCATAATTCCCCTTCCTCCCTCGAGTTCATACGTTCTCCTGTTCCAAGTGAGACATTACTTTGCGCGTTAGGCGGTTTTCATTACTGTAGGTTACAGTAGGTACATGGATATCGCCCGACCGCATGGTGACTACAGTACTAGCGCTAGAGCGAGTATGAATGAAAAACAATTATCGTCATTGAATGAATATAAACCGGCGAAATATCACGATTTTTCATCGTATCGGCACCCAGGTCTGACTAGCACTTTTTACATTCGGAACTTGTCATATGCCTATATTCCACGTGCCCTATACATACGCAACCTCACTAAAACGGCATTGGACGTTCCTGTAAGATACCTGGTCGTTACTCTGTAAACACACTGTATAGAAAGTTATTATACTAAACTTCTAGTACAAAAAGAAATAATTGTATTATTATAACTAGCAAAGTTAAAACTAAGCAATAACAAATATTCTAAATTAATTATAGGACTATTTTACTTAACTTATACGACGCTTTTAGAATAAATTTATATTAAGAGAGGTGTGTACAGAGTAACGACCACGTCTCTTACAGTTCCAAGCAAGCTATCTATATACGACACAAGAAAAAGGTGCAGATTCTCATCAATCAGCGGAGACTAGTTTATTTGTCTAAGCACTGATGTATTTATTGAAGCATAATACCACCTACTTCCTCTGAGCCGACCTGTACAGCTCATGTCTAATTAACAAATTAATCACTAATTTTAATCGCTGTTCCCCTGGAACAAATGAACAGCAAGACTGAAGAAAAGATTTGGCATCTCTCGTATCTAAAACGCGTAGGGTTGAGGCCAGCCATTGAGAATTAACCCCCAGTAGTGTTTCCAGGGCTGGATTGATATCAATGCATGCATGTTACGGTTAAAGCCGGCGACACCTTCAGCCAATTAGCGTTTTCACGATATGATATTGAATATTTCCCACCAGTAAACTCCCCAAATTGAAATCCGGCGATGGTCATGTGGGATTGTTAATATCAGTGTACAGTGAGGCTCTAGGTGGTAAAGTTGTGTAGCCCCGCGAATGATATAATAGATAGTAATCTTACAACCCGAGCACTTTACCTTGGTATCTTTTTGGTAACCTTCAATTACGATCAGCCGCTTTATGATAACAATCCTCAACCAATATGGTATCCTTACATCGCTCTCACTTGTTATTTGTACCATCAGAGCGGGAAGAAGAACAACAGGGCCTTTCGTATACAACCTTTCCAACTACAAATGCGGACCGTGGCTCCAGCCAAGAGGCAGGGCTCGAAGTTCCAACAGCTAGTTCCCGGCAACGCAACCAACTTAGTATTCTAATTTATTCTTCGATCCCTCTAGTATGCACTTATATTCTGTAATTTTCACTAGTAGCTATTACATTGATTTTCGTTGGTCGTTTAGGTGAAAAGGAACTTGCTGCGGTCAGCCTGGCATGTCTGACGGCCAACGTGACCGGATGGTCGGTTTTGGAAGGACTGGCATCAGCTCTTGATACACTGTGTCCACAAGCCTATGGTGCGGGATTCCAAAAGTTGGTAGGCCTACATACTCAGAGGATGGCATTATTCTTATTATCTACATCATTTCCGATTATTCTTCTATGGTAAGAAGAAATTTACATTTTCAGTATTCTTTTCTGAGAAGTGGTTTGCAAAACACGCATTCCGAAACCGCGTCACAAGTTCCCTGCTTATTATTCAACAGGTACAATTCCTACGTACTTCTACATGTCCTCCTACAGGACGATGAAATTTGCAAACTTGCAAGAAACTGCTTGTGTATCTTGTCTTTTGGGTGTCCTGGATACGCCTTGTTCGAATGCGGAAAGCGATTTCTACGAGCTCAGAGTCATTTTTCGCCAGGTCTTTATACTTTTATCGTCTGTATACCAATCCATGTTTTTCTCACCTGGTTGGCGGTGGCACATTTCAAGCTCGGCATCAATGGAAAGGCGGCGTCCTTATCTATGACACGCAATCTCCTCCCCTTTGGACTGGCAATATGTTCCTGGGTGTTCACTGATGGGGAATGCTGGAGGAAGGTTGATAAGAAAATCTTTCAAAACTGAGGGCTGATGGCCAGAATTGCCCTACAAGCTTGTTTGATGGTGGAGGTTGAATGCATCGGATTTGAGGTCCTCACTGTATTAGCTGGACTTGAAGGTACGACCGAGCTGTGCGCACAAACACTGCTTGTGACATTGTGCGGGTTCATTTTTAAAGTTCCATTCTCGATTGGGATCGCAGCTAGCACTCAAATTGCCGATCTCTTGGGAAGCGGTTCACCATCTGAAGCCAAATACGTAGCAAGGCTTGGTCTCGTTCTTGCTGGCGGTATAGGCTCTGTCATACTTTTGTTGGTTTTATTTTTTCGCAAGCAGATCCCCGCTATTTTCACTTCTGAAGAGGAAGTTGCCGGCTTGATGCTTATCACTATACCTTTAGTAGCTGTTTTCACTTTGATCGATGCTATCGCTGGTGTGTTTACTGGAATCATTAGAGGCACTGGGAAGCATTATATTGGGGCGTTGATACAGGCTGTGGGATATTACGCAATTGGGCTTCCTTGTAGTATAGTCACTGCTTTTACTCTTGGTTGGCATCTCGATGGACTTTGGGCGGGAATTTCGATCGCTATGTTCATCATATGCGTCTCACAGGGATTTTACGTATTTATTCTGGACTGGGATAAGCTGGTAGAAGAGGCCAAGTCTCGCAATGCTTTGGATTCAGAGTCATGATTATGATTCGAGTTTACACGGAAGGGACGAATAGACTTGTAGTTGCGTCACATTTAATGGATAAGTTTTGATGTAGGAAATGAACTTCTATCAGTATACATCACTCATGAAATTTGCATCTATTATTGCCGGATACACCATTCATAACAGGTGTTCTGGGACTAGAGTAAGATTTAGGATTGTCCGCTTCCTAGTGGCCTAAACAGACAGATATTTCATTGGTTTTGGGTGCCTTCAGTGCCTAGCATACGGTTGGTTAATGCATAAATCTCTTCGCTAGTGTAGTGAAACAATGGAACAGTGCTTTTATCTGCTCGATGAATCGATGGATCGTTTATCCTTTCATTCTTTAATCGTGATTACCGGTATTTGCCTAACACTGGCTCTTACTCAGCGTGATTCTCCCATGTATTCTACTTTTTTCAGATTCAAGAGTTTTACCCTTCTGGTTCCTGTATCCCATGATTATTGTGGAGATTCGTAATAGTACGTAGCAATGTACCCCCTTTGCCTGCACAGCAAAGCCCGGATCTCTACTTAACCACCACCCCCACCCCAGCATTTTGACTAAGTATTAATCAAGTACTTCGGAAAGTACAAATTCCTCAATATCACTTAAGGTTTCAGAAACCACGCCATTTCTAAGCAGGCGCTATAACAGTCTATTTAATGTTCTGTTGTGCTGGGTCTACTTTCTCTTTTGCTCCACTTCCTGATTTGATCCACTTATAGCTCTGCTGCCTAAATGCTTCATGTCTGCCTAAACCTCACACTCTTTATATAAACACCTTAGATAGCTACCTTTTACAATGCAATCAATTCTCCATGACCTTCAGTACCCAATACCCTTTCAACCCAATATGTTCTATAACTCTTAACTTTCCACGACATAAAAACCCTCAAAGCCCGCTATTAAAACTAGGTCAGACAAAATTCCAATACTACAATTTCTATACGCTAAGCGATTAATACCAATAGGAAGCCCGTTGAAAAGGATCGACTCTAATGAAAGCTTCCAATAATTTCCTCCACGAAATAAGTCAGGAAGCTTTGAAGAGCATATCAAGTTCTCTCTTTGCCTGATACAAATCAGATTATCCAAAGATCTCAAGAAGAACTTTACTTACATACTCTATAGCATTATATCCGCCCATCCAATCTGGGTTTCGAACTCGGGAAGATGCTCGCTTTCGACTAGACTTGCTGGCCTGGCCTTTACCCAAGGATTGAACAGCTTCAAGTTCTTGTCGCGTTCAAGCTGTTCTGGTCCATCCGGTAATGTGGCACGTTTATCTTTGGCAGCAGCCCATTCCTGAATTAGCCTACATCGCGGCTCTCGAATTGTCTGAAACGCTTTTAGGACTTTTGGAATACCGAAGAGCTCGGCTCTTTCTAGGCATTCTGCCAATGTTACCGCATCCTCGAGTGCCAAAGCGCCTCCCTGAAACATTTACTTGTGAGCTTCTTTAGCCTGAATAGACCAGATGCTTATATTGCTTACCTGGCCAAGCCATGGGAGAATTGCATGTGATGCGTCTCCAATCAAGATCACCCTGCCATGCTGGCTTACCCAGGAATTCGGCATCGACTCCTTCAATCGCCAAACCTGACCTGTACTTGCGTACGAAAGAAGCTTTTGAATTCCTGGAATAAACTCCTTATAGTATCCTCTAAACTGCTCAATATTTTGCTCTCGTTCACTTGATTCCGAAGAATTCTCATCTCTCACGTGGCAGCAATCAAGACTCAGGAGCCATTCATCCCCTACGCTGAAGTAAGCATACCAACACATATTATTCATAGGAGTGTATAGCACCTCTAAGAACCGGCATTACAGCGATTGTAGTAAAAGGGCCGCACCATAGGCCTATTTGGTCCATGAAGATGGAAGTTTCTGGGATTGATCTCACGGTGGACTCAGGAATAAGAAGTCGGGTTATGTCCATTCCACTATCGCGGACACATTCTTTGTCAGAAACTATACTTCGTCTAACAATGGACTTTAGACCTGAAATTTTGGGTAAGTCAGCCTTTCACCAACATCTGACGAAGTGAATCTAATCCCAAGAAATCGTTCACCTACCATCGGCTCCTACAACCATATCAGCTTCTACTCTCTCACCACCCTTCACCATGACTGTAATTCTCTTTTCATTCTCTTCAATAGCAACCACAGGGCAACCGAGTTTGATTGTAGCTCCTCGTTTGGTAGCAGCGCCGAACAGAATTTGTTGTTTTTTAGAGGGTCGAAGAGCTAGAAAAACCCGAACTTTTAACGGCACCCATTTATAGCGCTGTACTATATGCCACTCATAATATCAAACTAGCAGCCCTAAACCCACCTATAATCCATTACCACTTCAAAATCAAGAAATCGACCAAAAATGAATAGACAAACAAGTCAATAAGTAACTAGTAACATCTCTAAAAACGGAGTATATCACGGCTACTCGGTACAAAACCAATTTGAGAACGTGAGAGTACTTCTTCACAATATGATATTTTGACTTTTATGCCTTTGTTAGCTTAAGTTATTTGACGTTGTGAGTACGATTCTTATTCAAAATTTACCTAGGTATTGTAGGATGAAGGAGTTTGGTTCTGGTGATAAGGAAAGGGAACGTCCATGAATACCCTTGATATACACGCCATATGTAGAAGTAGGTAGGGGTTCCATAGCAGCAGCAGCCAACACCTTGTGAGATGATGTAAAACTTGAGGTAGTCTTATCTTATCCACTCAACAAGATGAAAGAGGATATATCAAGACAGCCGCTGTAATGTGAACCCTTGGGAAGCTCTTCGGCATAGAAGAAATGATTACATCATTATATTTCGACGCTGTAGACTAGACATATATGCCCAACGTCAATCCCGGAGAATTAAAAAGTAGAGCAAAGGCCAAGCAAACCACGTGAATTCCAACACCATGTCCGTCCAGTACCCTCCCAAATTAACCATTCCTTCCTTCCTACCTCTTCGGCAGTAAATTCAGGTCAAAGTCTCCCAAAGTACGCCAGAAAATTCCCTTAAGTCCTATCGTTGCATCTTTGTACTGTACAGCAAGAAGGCGAGAGAATAACCCGTCCATTCCTCCAAGTTCCTTTTCCTTCATGATAAATTACTCCCTCGCTCGTGGTCGCATGCTTTTGGGTATCGTGATTTATTAATTAGACGGCTGATCGAGAGGCAATTCGTGCGCGTCTTCGGTTGATTGCTCGAGTAATGGCGAGACTAATGAGACCGAACGCGACGATAAAGACGATGCAGAAGACGACAACAACTCCTACTTCCCGCTGAGCCCAATTCTTTTCTCGCTTGGTGAGTTGGTGGACGATGTCGCGGACTTGGAGGGATGAGGTTGGTGCCATTTTGACTGTTCTGATCATAGTTGTTAGCATACTTTCATTCTTGAATGATGAGCTGCAAATTCTGGGGTATGTATGAATTCTGGAGAAGTGATAGATATAGAGAGTTTTTCAAGGTAATGATCAACGCTGCGAATGAATGTTCGGATTGTTGCGACAATGCCAGACCCCCGCTTCAAAGGTCATAGGACCAAATGTGCAAGAAAGAACGAAGAACTAGATGCGAAATTCCATACCTGTCTCAGAGAGTATCGAGGACCAAATCGAGATCAATTGAAGTAAAGGATTTCGTAAAGTTCTATTGCGACTCCCAATTAGCATCCGCGTGCGCAATGATCCGATGGATCAGACGATCAGAAACTTGACAGCGGGAGCTGTGAGAGGTGTGGTAGAACAAGAGAACCCAGCAAACTTCTTTTTCAAACTGAAAGCAAAAGCCAACAGAATAACCCACTGCGCCTCCTCTTCTCTTGTTTTGCTGCGCACAATTGGCTCTTGACTCAAAACCCACCATATGAGCGATTAATGAAGTTGCAAGGATACCCGATGCTCCCCGCGTCCAATTCCCCAGTGCTCCGCTCCTCGATACGTTTGTGCAATGAATGAATGAAAAACAGAGAATAGTACTTACACGAGTAAATGAGGGGATTCGCAAACGAAATCGAGCGCAGGACAATGTGTTATGCTTCGTTGAAGGGGATTCTGAATGAAGACAACAAGATGCGAAATGGGAGCTTGACGGAGCTCAAGAACAAGAGGTGGGACGAGCTTGGAGCTAGACCGGAAGAAGGGAATTGTGGGGTACTAGTCAGCCCCCGCCGTTTGCGCCTGCCCAAAACGCTTGCGATGTTGGAAATGGAAGGGGTGATGATGATGACTGGGCACTGGGGACTTGTTCAACTGAAGAGGATTATCTGTATACTCCGCAAATGAGGTCTGAATAGCTTCATTTTCCCATTTACAAGCTATCTGGTTTTATACGCAAGCCCCACCGTTAAATGTACACATCCCGGTCTTGTCTTGCCAATCACTTGGCAGGTCCCGCTTTCCCCGCCATGTAATTGTTTACACTTTCTTCTTTCGGGTTATTTACAATTTCATCCATTTCATATGTTCCCAAAGGAGAAACCCTCACAAGTTGGAAAATACAAGATATTTATCTCATACGAAAATAAGCATCCCAATCCCCAAGATCTAACCTCCATCTATCCCAAACTCCAAACCCCCCCCTCACCCCCCCAAAACTCTAAAAAACAAACTCCTCAACCCAATGTCTCAAAACCATCTTCCCCTCCTCAAAAGCAGGCTTCTCCGTCCTCACAATAACAGCCGCATGACTATGCCTCGCCTTCCTAATATGCACATACCACTTCCTCCAACCTAACCGATTCAACTCCTCAATCATACGAAACTGCAACGGCGTAAGCGCCAACACTTTCCCTCCCATACCAACACCCGCCACATTGCCGACAATTTCTTCCTCTTCAACAGCCGAGTAAGAAAATGAGGTAGAATTCGAATTCGAAAACGAGGAATGGAATAGAGACTCATGACTCTGCGCATTATTAACATTCTGATACACATCCTCCATCGCGCCTTGGATGGAACTCGGTAAAAGCGAAGGAACACGGTAAGACATCGCATCCACCTCTCCACGTCCCAGCTCATACCTCCGTATCCTGCGAAAAGATTGGATCGCGCTGAGTGTGCTATTCAGAAGCAACTCCAGAATCCCAATAGGGATATACGCAATGAAAGCCACCAAAAACGGCGCCCTCCTCAACCCAAGTTTGAGTTTCTGAACGAGTCGCGTGGAGAAAGACAAGGTAGCTAATTCCGGCTCGTCAAAGGAGGTTGTAGGATCAAGAATCACGTCTTCGTACCCAGGTAAGTAATCCAGGTCCAAGGTATCGAGATTCGTGAACGGGTCGGTGGATGAGATACTCGTTGTGTAATACACCGCACTACGATCATTCGCGATATTCGTGTACAAAGTCCGTCGCTGGAATTGCTCCAGTCCCTTCATGAATATGGAATTTGGATCCGAGAGGATTTCCAGCAGAGGACGGTTGGTGTCACGGAATTTATCGATCATGAAGAGTTGCCAGCCGGAGGTGAGTAGTGTACGAGCTCCGAAGACGTTCCAGAGGGTGTCTTGCCAGCCTCTCAATGGTGCTCGTACCCCGAGGTGAGGTGAGACGAAGGTTGTGAAGTTCTATGTTTTGACATCAGCTTTATGGAACTTTTGGAAATTAGAGTACGTAATGAGAGGTTTCATACTACAGGCTCAATCCTCTCAAAAACCCCCTTCCCATACAAAAGACCCGCCGCATACCTCGCTATCAGACCCCCAAGCGAGTACCCAATCAACGACAACTTCGTCACTTCCAGCCCATCCCTCGCCAGATCCCCAATTTCCTCTTCGATTTCCTGACAGATTCGCTCCCCGCCTATATCGATGCCATCGTAGGTGAAGTTTCCATTGTTGCTTTTCGCTATAAGGATGTGCAGGCTCGGGTCCTTGGTTTGCAGGGTCTGTGCCATGACTTGGAGATCTTTTGGGCTTCCCCAGAACCTGGATTTCATTAGTTCCTCGTTAGGGGAATGGGAGACGAGTTGGAGACGTACCCGTGGATGAGAACGCATAGACGGTGGGCATCTTGCGTGGTTTGTATGGTGGAAGGCATGATGTGGGATATATTAATAATGGTACACCACAACGAAAGAAAATTCGAGAAAAGGAAACAAACAAACAAAACACCACCAAGAGAAAGAAGTTTGAAGGTCTCAATTTATATGTACCCATAAACATCAACTCGATACCCATGTTCCAGTCAGTAAAGCCCTGTTAGTAGGTGAGTATCCAACATCCGCCTAACTCTCCCAGCCCAAAATAGTATCCCATCCTACCATCCAACCCAGTGACCATCCTCACCTGCAATCATCTTGCTATATCATGACAGAGTCTCTTGATATCCCAATACCCAGTTCGTCGAGTTCGAGGAAGAAGGGGTGATGTGAGACACACGTGATGGGAAACGTGGTGGCGAAGATGCACACGATTCGCTGGAATAATAAGAGATGGGAGACGGTGAGAAACATGAAGGAGTTAGGTACCATAATTGTAAGAGGTTAGTGTGCTATCGTGACCTCCTTCTGCGTAGACCCTGGGTCTGATGTATGTGTGTTCCATTGGAAAGGAATGAATCAGGTCGTACTTGAAATAGAAACAACTGAGAGCAGCGAGAAATCCTAAATATGGGAGGAAAACTGAGCAAGAAAAGTGACGAGTAGACAACCCAAAAAACTCCAAAAATATAAACCAACAACTGGAAAGCCATCAAAACACTCCCAAAACATAAATACTTCTCATTTCATTCCCAACCCCCATCCATCCATCCATCCACCACCCATCCCTCTCCCCTCCCATAAAAACACGTGACACCATCCCCTCCCATCTACCCATGGATCAATCCAATCCCAAAGCCCATTTAAGACTTAGATAATACAACAATGACAAGGCAACGGACACGGAATAATAAAGCAAAAACGACCCGGACACATCTCGCCACCTCGCAGATGAACTTGCTCCTCTGCCTGATGGTTTGCCTGCTGTTCTTGTGGGGGTGTTGGGGTGAGGTCTGGTTTTGTGGTGTTAGTGTAGTACATCACTGTATGGATGAGTGTATGAGAGGGGAGGTAGGGTAGATGGAGGTGAAGAAGATGGGATGGGTTGGGTTGGGAAGAAGGATAGAGGGAATAGAGGGGATAGAGGGGATGGGACGTACTCATTGAGTGCTGTGTCGTTGGTTGTTCGGTTTGTAGTTGGGCGGTGGGCTGTGGTGTTTGGATGGTGGGTTGGGGTGCCATTTTGTGGTTGTGTAGCTGACTAGCTGAGGGGTTTGTGTGTGGTTGAGGTACGGTGTATGTTGGTATGTTGATTTGTAGATTGTTTAGTATTGGTGTTGTTGTTGCTGTGGTAGATGGCTCCCTCCGTACTGAAGGTAGAGTAGATATGAAGTAGTGAGCTTCCAAGCTTAGGTGGGCCTGGGGCGTTGATGATTTGTTCCTCAAACGATGACGAAGCGGGTTGTGGGGTGGTCCAATAGTATTTCATGAATTGGGATAAATATGGAGTCGCTGCAGGGGTTATTCTTGGGCCGACTTTGCGTGAATGGTACAACTCAGAGGATCTGGAACATTTATTCACGTACGATTATTTGTTGTGAATGGTTTATTTATTTTTCACTTGTTATGATGATGGATTGGATTTTCCATTTGATTCTGATTCTTTTTTCCTGGTTTCTCTTTATGCTGGGGACAGCTGGCTGGGGAGGCTGGGTCTACGAAGCTTGTAGTAAGGTACTAAGGTCCTTGAACTTAATTCTTTCTTGCCACTTCATTGCCAGGGGCGAAGAGATATACAAATCAAGTGATATTCCAAGGGTTTAAAACAATTCATGTGAATTTGTTTCCCGATGGAGAATGGATCTTCTAGGTCTAAGCCCCTTGACTCGTTAAATGAATCGATTGTAAAGATCATACCAAGTCTACTGATATCAAATTCACCTCGAGCACCTTCGCAAATCATTCTTCATAACTCTTAGAGCCAATCTTGTAGCAGAAGTCAGTAAACAACCAGCTCGCTAAACATTCAAATGCCCTTGTCTTTTATAGATTATGATAGACTTGCTTTCTAGTTAGTTTATTAGATTTTAGTTTAGTTTAATATGCTTGGTCTGTTGTCAAATTGTTCCCCAGTTGTCTTTGCAATTGTTTGTTTTTGGGTGGCTCTAGTAGAAAAAAGCTTAGGTATCACTATGAGATTTTATTCCGTAAGTGATTCCTACTGAGTTTCATATGAACATTACATAAATAAAAACACCTACCAACACACACTTAAAACAACGCACCCCCCAACAAAGCACCCCCAACCAACCCCCCCATAAGCGGCAACCCCATACCCCCACCATACCCATACCCCGGCCGTCTCCCATATCCCATCCCGGGCCTCACACAACCCACCCCCGGCGGCCCACCCCATCCATACCCAGGCCCACCATATCCCATCGCCGCAGGATACCCTCCGACATTCCCCATTTGCAGCCCATTCCCCCTCCGACTAGGAGGATCTATATAAACACCCTTCCCCTCGCGGTTCTGGCCCAGGTATTGCGGTTGTCCCGTCTCGATGGCGCGCATCATCGCGGCGCGAATCATGCGGTGGCGTTCGTACGCTGCTGCTTCCTCCTGTGCGCGCTTTTGACGGAAGGCTTCGCGTTCGGTGTGGGTGGAGTGGGTGAGTTTATCTTTCATTTTGCGGGTGAGTTTGTGGATGCCTTTTGGTTTATCGAGGTCTTTTTCTGTTGATGCGACTCCTCCTACGCCAACACCGTTGCCTTTGGGATGGTCCTCGATGTCGGACTCCCCCGATGTCATGGCGTTGATATCTTCCCGACTAGGAAATTCGTGTTGTCCGACAAGGCTCTCCCGTTCCGCGGACGACAGAGTCGAGAGATATTCCTCGTCGTCGTAGGGGTGGTGCCAGATTGAGCGAGGAGGTGTGGCGGTGGTGTCGATGAAGAATTGGTGCCGGGTTTCTGCGTCGAATTGTCGGATCCAACCTGCGGGGAGGGAGCGCGCTTCGTCTTCCATAGAGCGACGCGCTGAAGGAGGGATGCCATTTCTCATTCTTTCAGAGGGAACTTGGAGGTGAGAGGTATCTTGGGATGAGGATTGCCCGTGAGGAGGCTGTGAGGCGTTGAGAGCGTATGGTGGTGGGGGCTCGGAGGGGTGGGTTGGTTCTTGTGAGGGCATCTTGATAATATGGGTAGGCAGTTGCTCGTGAATCTTGTTGAGTTTTCTTTGGTGATGGGGTGTATATTTCTCTCCTAAAAAATATAGATTCTTTTTTTGTTTGAATGTTGGTTGGTACAAGTATTCGCCTTCAAAACGCACTAGTCTCCCCTCTCCTGACCCTGACGTCACTCCAAATGGTTTCATCTGATTTTTTCCAATTCTCATGTGAAATTTCTTCGAACTGTAGCTCTGGTTTTGTGGTTGCTAGCTGGGAACCCCGCCATTAGAGCGGTGGTATGCAGTGGTTCCTCGTCTGCTCTGATTCCGTATAAATTTTCTATCTCAGGTCAGCAAATGGGATGTGTGTGACGAGAATTGAAAAACGGAGGATGTACAGAAGTACTAGGGATGGGTATTTTGAAGAGAAATGTCAGTATTGGGAGATGTATCTTGAGTGATTGAATGAGAAAAATGAAACAATCAGTATGGAAGAGATCGATGGTTGATTCGAGCTTGGCGGGATGAGGTAGTGATGATGGAAGCGTGAGTTGGAGTTCGAGAATGGAAAAGGGAATGGAAGAAAAAAGGACTGGTATAACCCATCGATTTTAGTAAGAAGTGAGTGTGTACATACACAACACTTGTCGTAGTTCGCCCTGCTTTATGGAAGGAAATGGTACTGTACAATCTAGATATCACCATAATATGAAGATCTTGCTCACTGAGGTGAACCCTCATTTCCCCATGTGGGGTAAATCCGGCACGTGCTATATATCAGCAGGTAGCCTCTCAAGTGTGCTTCCCAAAAGGGTCCTGGTAAAGATAGAGGAATATGATGGAGTTTATTTCCGGTGGTTCATGTATCTCAGATGAAGTAATCCTTCTTCTGAGTCTGGTCCCGGAGTCATCGAAGTCGTAGCGGCGCCTTTTTCTCTTGTCTTTCAAATATATACGAAGAGGGAGAATGAATGTTATCGTTAATGAGTATATATCTCTGAAAGCGTCAACATATCAAAGTATTCTGATAAGATTTTCGCAAAGGCGTTAAACTGCACGGCGTCATACCTGATCCCCCACCAGTTCTCGCTAAAGACGAAACAATCGTCATTGAAATTTCAGGGGGTTGACGTGAACATGAGCACGTTTCAACACCATCTCATGTGCCGTCTAAGGGTCGTCGTGGCTCAGCCTTATCACGAAAGGTGTGGAATCTTTTCACATGCGTGTGCAGTACGTTGGTTTTCATTTACCGGTATAATACTCGTTGTTGGTGAGGTAGAGGTGTTTGAAACTGTGAGAATTGTAAAGGGAAGTTGGGAGGGGAGTTATGACATAGTGTTTTTGGAGGTGAGACGGGAATGCAAGTGATATGACAGTTTAGATAGTACAGCCCTGAGTGGAATTGGGAATTTGTGCTGTGACATTTCTGTTTTTGGGGGTTTTTGATTGAGTGTTTTTTGGTGGAGGGAGGGCAGGCTTTGTTTGGGGGGGAATTATCAGTCAAGTCAGCGTAAATTCGTAATAGAATAGTCATTGTTCGAAAAGGATAGTATAATAGGGGACTACTTTTTCAATGAATCTCCGTATTCGTATAAATTTCCATGTCTCACAGACTTCGTGGAGTAACAAATATACGAGGAGCAAATAATGTACCAAGTAAGTAAGCGCCCAGAAAAAATTCCACCCCCACCCCACCCACCAACTAAACCCAACCGCATCCCAAACCCCATAAATCCCTCGATGCCTTCCAAAAAGCCCACAAGATCAACATGATTCCAGAATATGGACCTAATCCATACCGCATCCAGCAGGATCTGTTCCACATGATACCACCCATCGTCTTCACACCCCCCTTCTCGAAGCATGCCATTTCATTCGTTGGCTCCCTCATTGGCTTTGAACTCGGTAATGCACGTCACAGGCCCGTACCAGCTTTACCTGCTTACGCCCAGGACGAACCAATCCCCTTTGAGGAGTGTGTGCGAATCCATTGATGTGGGTGGTGATCACCCCTCTTTTTTCTCTTCTGGTGTGCAAGCGAGATTTTGGCGCTCGAGGTTGGGTAGTGGGACGTCGAGACGAGGGGGCGAGCGAGTTTGAGAGTCTGGATAGATACTTCCTCGACCTTTTGCTTTCCTTTGAGAGAGGATTAATTCCAAAGTGTGAGACGGTGGATTTGTGGGGTTCTGTGGAATCCTGCTTGGTGAGGTATGGGTAGGTGTATCTCGCGATTTCGTCCCGTCTTTATTTAAGGGTCGATGCCACAAGTTGAGATGGCTAAACTGCAGGTTACTTCATTCTTTTTCTATTTCCGTTTAGATTAATCGTCCAATCTTTTATCGAGAGCTTGGTCTCTCCATAGGGTTTATTACATTCATTACGTTCATTCAACCACCATTTTTATTTTTCTTCTTCGGCCTTTTCGCGAAATTCGTGTTCTTGTTTATTTTCACTCTCCGCGAACGTATATCAAGATGTTATTCTCGAAGCTTTTCATGCTGGCGCTGGGGTTTGCTGGGATCAGTACATGCGTCTCAGTACCACAACGATCGGAATATCGTTCCGTGAGTGCGCTTCGTCGCTTAGAAGATCGTCAGAAGCAGGCTGCGACTGGGAATGGCAAAGGGGATAACTGTGTACCTGCAAACTTGATACAAAGTGCCAGCGCAAAGACAGGACAAGAACCTGGGACGGACGGAATAAAACCTGGACAAGCACCTTCGGATACGTAGGTCTGACCCTTCAGTTAAGTTCAAGAGCACATACTAACTGCAAGACAGTGACAACAACAACTTCGTAAACTTCTGCACTGGTCAAAAGATCACCAATGGCGTGCAAGTCACTGGCGGCTCATGTAACGGTATCCCCATGGGCCAAATCCCCGCAACCAAAAACATGGTCGCAGCCATGATAACCTTCCCTCTCCTCGGGGACGAAGTCACCGCCAACCAAACCTTCAACATCTCCGTTCAAACCGCCCACCTCGACGCAGGCTTCTTCGTCAATCCCACCACCAACTACTACACAGCCCCCCAAGCTTTGAACAAAGACGGAGACATCATCGGACATTGCCATGTCACAATCCAAAGCATTGGCTCTCTACGAGACACGACACCGCCGGATCCAGCGAAATTCGCTTTCTTTAAGGGCATTGATGACGCGGGGAATGGGAAGGGTCTTCTTCAAGCTCAGATTGCGGATGGGCTTCCTGTGGGTGCGTATCGGGCTTGTACTATGATGTCTGCTAGGAATCACCAGCCTGTTCTTATGCCAGTTGCTCAGCGAGGTGCGCAAGATGATTGTGTCAAATTTGAGGTCAAAGAAGATGGGAATGATGGCAAGGCAGGTGGTGATGCCGCGGCTGGCAAGGGGAAGGCCAAAGGGGCTAACGCTCCTGAAGGAAAGGAAAACGCAGGTAATGCTCAGGCAGGTAATGCTCAGGCAGGTAATGCTCAGGCAGGTAATGCTCAGGCAGGTAAGGGGAATGGCGGTGCGAAGAATGCGGGAGATGCGAACGTAGGTAAGATGGAAAGTGGAAAGGTGGATGGTAAAGCAAAAGACCAGAAGAAGTGAGCAGCGAGGCTTTGTATATTGATGATTTCTGGTTACGTTGAGCGGGAGCCAGGAGATCGATGTTTCTTTTCTCGCTGCTTTTAAATTCAAGTAATTTTCCTGCCATAAGGTTTTGTTAGTACTTGTTTGGAAACGATAGCAATATCCCTGTCTGAGTAGCTTAAATGAAGCCCCTGCTTGAGTTCTTGTTTCAAGGTAAAGTCTTTACTTGAACCAGGATTTTTGAAGTACGGTCTTTACTTGACAAATGACAGGTCTCAATCTCTATTGAAAATTCCTTCGTGGCTCTTCCAGAAGCTGCTGTATTTTGGAAGGAGATATACCTCGCAAGCGAGTAAGCGAGCAAGCGAGTTTCAAAGTAGCCTTCTGATATGTTTGATTGCGATCCTGTGCCGGCCCAATAGAGAAAGAGCTCCTAGACTTGAATCAATCAAGGCGAGTTAGACATTCTTCGGCGACTTTCAATGAAGCCTGTCTATTTGATTTACTGGATGGAGAACGGAGCGGGGGGTGTAGGCAGCGTTACATTATCTTGCACCAATTCCGTCGCTTCCCATGGTAAGGAGTTCGAGTTTTCGATGCACCTTCTTGGAACTAGATCACCAATACTCAGTTCATAGTTGCAAGATACCTCAGAATTCACACTCTTTGTAGAGTACACAAAGATCTAGTCTCGTCACACTGTGATTGTGGGTCAGATTTGAACATTATGTTTCTCACCGCTCAAAAGCCTCACTTTGACTAGCCATTTACAAAGAGTCAGCAAAGATCTCTCGAGGATTTCGAGCTGGGGAGAGCAAATGTTTTTCAAGATGGAAGTTCGCAATTACGAAATCCGTGTCTTGACTTCTTATGAGCAATACACTTAAGAGTGTCGCTTATCGTGATATAGCTAGCACAAGGGCCGTCGATTCTTCCTGAACAAGGGACAGCGGCTCCTGGCACTATAGACAACCCAACGAATGAAGCGGATGAATGTCATATCATTGATGCCAGTGATCCGATTGAGCATGACGCGGCTTCTAATGTTTGTTAGTCAATCTTACGATATCATCGGGAAGCCGGATGCTTTACACCTTAATTCCGCAACACCAATCCTCCCTAAAAGGGTACAACACCAGTCAGAGGCTTGATTTAATTTTCGACAAAAAAGCCAGAAGAACCGCAAGGAGGCTCTAAGTATGAGCGATTCCAATTCGGCCAGGACAGCGCCCCGTTCAGCGTGCCAGGCATGTTATCGTTTAAAGGTGCTATACATAGACAGACCTCCATCCTCGAGCTCAAACATCCAGATGTACTGACAGGATATACCGGTAGATGAAATGCGCTAGGAAGCCAGATATATCCTCATTTTCCTGTGTGCGATGTCACAAAGCTGGACGCGTTTGTTCTCCAGGACCGGGTGCAGCTGCAAGTCGGAAGTCAATCGAAGCTCGGGTGACACGAAATCCGACACGTTCAACCCAAAGGGATATCAGAAGAATATCCAAAGATTCTGATGAGCGCAATACACTTCCCTTCGCTGCGGAAACTCTGCCTAGTATCTATTCAATTTCTCCGACCAGTCATTGAGATGAAGAATACCATGCGCAGAATGGATATGCGAATAGAGGCTCAAATCTGGAACCAGATGAAGGTTCGGTCCACGTCAATAGGTATATCTCGAATGAAGATGCCATCCAATTAATACATTCGTAAAGGCTATCTTATTCTACACTGCATTCCGAGCTTCAACTGATTTTAGACAGATTTCGAGAACGTCTGCTACCATGTCTCCACATCATACAACTCAATTCCTCCGATTTTGATGATGCCCCATTTCTGGTGAGAAATTATCCAGGCCTAGCGATATGCATCTGCTATGTCACTTGTACGTACGTCCACGGCGGTTATGAGAATGTCCGAAGAGACCTAGCAAAACCTGTCATAGCGTTCGTCCAGAATGTCTTTTCTCGAAAATCAAGGACAGACGAAGATGAGTTGGTGACAATGCAGGCCTTGATCATTTTGTATGCGTGGGCTGGAATAGGTACTGCTGACCCAAATATAAGAGACCTTTCTTTGAGCGAGATGAACTATTGGGCCATCAAGTCTGCTTGTGAAGGGTTTGCTATCCATGCAAATTTCCATCGAGCGGGTAATATACTGAAAGAAAGGATAAAGATGGGAGTATCCTTCGAGAAAAACGATGTCTATACGAAGAGGTGTCTATTCTGGATCTGGCTTTATATCAAATCACATTTGTGAGAAGAATACCCTTTCACATGGTCCCATATTGAAAACTCGCTAATTGCGCACAGAGTTTCGCGAGTGACAAAAACACCCCTTACAATGCATGCAGATGCCTCTATAAGAGCCTCTCCCAAACTACCAAATGAGCTATCCTCTGATCCTCTCATTGAACAAATACTTGGCGGACTTGAGTTGTGTTTGCTGTGGGATAAAGTACGAGCTCTGTGCGCAATTATCAACACTTGCTGACTTTGCCAACAGCTTGGGAAAAGAGATAACAGGCTCGCCGAATGGTGGTGTCCCTTGGACCTCGAAGAAAAATCGGACAGCGAAGAACCACGAGTGACTATCAAGGACGTGAATATTGCACTTGATAATTGGAAAGCTCGCTTTGCTCACTCATTCTCAACAGGTATACCCCCCTAATACAGGTTCATAGAATCAACCAGTTAACAGAACTCAGACACTGGAACAAATGCCAACAATCTCAACCTGATTTACCATTATCATTATACAAGGTCCTGTCTCCACACCCACTTCATCCGACGTACATCGTCGAATTCCCCTACCGACAGAGAGCAAGCGGAAGCCATCATAAAATGTGTTGACTCTGTTCTCAGTATCTTCAATTTGTACCATACACTGGGACCAACGAGAAGAGACCAACTCCGATACTTCCCAGGATTCCTCTTCGTCATCCTATCATTCTGCGCCTCCTTCTTGATGAAAGCAATCCAAGTCTTTCCAGCCCTATTTCCCTATCCAAACTCGGATCTCGCATTGCTAGGAAGACTGGCTGAACTTATGATTGGCCTCGGTGACTCAGGACATGATGCTTTCATTAGCGGAACTCTAATCCTTCGTCATCTTGATAAAATGGAAATGCCAACCAACCAACATGTGGAGTCTTTTAACGGTCTACAACCGCAGGAGGGTCTTGTGATATCCACGGATGAGCGGGTCAGTTGAACCCTTTACTTTGGGGAGCTCCACTGGGTTTGAGACTCCTCCGGATTCGGTTTTGCGGGACTTCACCAACTTGTTTGATCCAATGTACGAGAATGAGTGGTACAATTATGGATCACCTTACCGGTACTTGACTTGATGTCCCCTTCATGGACCGGTACTTCGAATAAGGGGTCCCAGTCGGAGGAATTATCTCAACCCACTTCTTGAAGTTATCCACTGCTGCACATAACCGCCTCGGATTTAACTTCGTATATGCCTCGCATGCTCATTGTCATCCGATGCCAGCAGTCACAGTATTGAATGGGGAAGCAAAGCAGGTTTCCCTGAGAGTTTCTTCCCAAAGAAGGGGTCTCTCGTGTTGTTTTTCTCTTTCCTGTGGTTTCTAAGTCTCAATTGAGGGACGGCTTGCCCCTGTTACATAGCCGCAGGGCAGCTGTGCCCCCCTTGCCAAGCTGGCAACACGCTGAAAGATCCGCTTTTCAGCCTTTGAGTTCCCTGCAAATGATGCAAGAAACTTGGAATCTGGAGAAGATACAGGAATACACCCTTGATGTGTGAGAACTCTTCAAAACGATATAGGACAACAAACTTACGATGTTTGCTCAACCTTTTTGCAGCAAGATCTGTCACCACAGTTCGTTATCCTCAAGATGTAAGACGTCGATTGGGAGGCCGTCTCTTGCATACCGGTATGGTCTTTACACGATACTAACACGTTGCAGTGGAACAATCCGTGTACTTTCACAGCAATCTTCCTCCTTGAATCATATACCCCTCCTCTTTCCGAATCTAAGCAACAAGACACGCGGTCAAGAATCAAAAAACTGAAACGCAAAAAGACAGCCTTCTCTGCACGGATTATTTCAATTTGCAAGCTCAACGAAAGAAGATACTAACCAGCGTATGGTCACACAACGATTACCAACAAGTGCCCCTCGAAAACACATTCGAACGGAGCAATGGATAGCGAAACAATAGCCTTCGACCCAGATGGAGATCTCATGCTCATCCTGACACACGTGGAGGAAGAACCTGGGAAATTCGAACTGGTACATACTGCAGAGGATGGAAACTTAAGCGACGACGATGCATCGATGGAATCCCCCGCACCAGTTTTACGCAGTAAAGAAACACGAATGATAGTGAGCAGCAAGCACTTGATACACGTTTCTTCCGTCTTCAAAGCAATGTTTCGAAATGAAACTTTTGTCGAGGGACGAGAACTGGCGAAAGGGAAGGCGGTCGTGCCGCTTCCAGATGATGACCCCTTCGCCATGACGATTTTGATAAATCTTATCCACCACAATCATCGCAAGGTTCCAAGGACGGTTGATCTAGATACGATGACCAATATCGCTATCCTGGCTGATAAATACGAATTGACTGAGGTCTTATACACGAATTCAGAGTTGTGGTTGAAGGATCTGAAAAAGACGGTTCCGGTTTCATTGACACAGGATTTGCTTCCGTGGCTCAGCATTGCTTGTGTCTTCAACATGGCACCTGAGTTCAAACATTTGACGCGGATTGCAACGTTGGAAAGTAGTGGTGATCTCGGTCTGGGAGAATCAGATGAAGATCTCCCAATCCCCGCACAAGTTTTTGGTAAGTACCCCACCAACACATATTTTATTGAAGGGGCTGATGTTTCCAGCTGCAATCGAATCCGAACGCCAACGTGGAATCTCGGAAATGTACGCCATCATCCACCACGAAATCCAAAAATACCAAACTGGTCCGGTAAACTGTCGAACGCTCACCTTCCTGTGCCCCTCAGACACTAAGCGACTGAATTACGCCTGTGACGGCGCCGTGCTCGGAACCCTCCTCAAAAGCGCAGACGAGAATAAACTTTGGCCGCCGGTACCTCCGCCGTTTGTGGGGTTTACTCTGAGGATGGTTATGAGGAAGGCGCAGGCGCTTACTATTACTGCGCTGTGCGATCATCTCGAACTCGAGAATGAGAGCGAGTATAAAGGTCCCAGTCATGGGGTTAAGGCGGCTATTGTGGGTACTATTAAGAAGATCAAAGGGGGGCTGGGACTTAATATCAAAAATTATAAGATGGGGTGACAATACATCCGTGAGTCTACGTGCTCCGGAACCCAAATACAAATAACCCTTAATTCCCTTTTCTGCTTCCCATTTTCTTTTTTGTGTTTATTGTATTTTGTGTGTGGAATTGTTGTAGATTCCAGATTCGGGACGGGCCAGGATTTCCGACCCATTTTGGGGCAGAGTGGGCTTCCAAGACCAGCACAATTTTGGCGCTAGAAGCCCAATATGCAATGCGGTCCAACATCTTACATGAACAGCCTGTACCCAAAGCCTGTACTTGCAGCTCAGCCATGTGAATCCTAAACTTTCGGCTATTCCATTGGTCGGCTGGTTCGACAACACATCGCGTATTCACCGCCACTCATGCATGTTTTTATTTACCGGTGAGTCGCTGTCGATTATGCGTTCCGAGTCCGTGTGAGCCTTGTGAGAAAGTTTGGGATTATGTGCTGGTTGTGTGGTATCCGTATTTCACTGGGTGCTCCCTTCGTTTTCTTTTTTCCTCTTCATACATAGTCTTTTGTCTTGTGAGGTTTTTTGTTTGGCGTTTGCGTTTAAGCGGGTGCGTATTTCCCCGCATCGATTATGAGAAGTATATGCTGATAACCTGCAGTTTTTATAGTTCGTTTTAATTTTTTTGCAGCCGCACCACACCACCCACTATGGATCCCGAAATCCTGGTGTTCATGCCTCACGGCGATGTCACCCTCAGACTAACTCGAGAAATCGAGAAAGAAATTCCACACAGTCGATCCTCCTCCTTTTCCTCAATCAATTCTACACCAAGTAGAAGGGAATCTAAAGTCATCGATGAATTAGCAGATGCAGCGCTAGCGGAATTGGAAAACGAGTCAAACGACACGGCGGTGGAAGAAGAATCAAGAGCGGAGGAACAAGAACTCGAGCCTGAAGAAAGTTCTTTTTTCTATGCGCCAGATCCTCCGGCTGTTGAGGATGGCCCTTTCTTTCCCCCTCCTCCACGGGCGAGAAGGGAGTCTAATGCGTCCTCGCGACGGGAAAGAAGTACGAGTCCGCCGGCTAGTTTTTGGGCGAATTTGAAGAGACAGCAGACTGAGAGGGCGATTGCAGCAGCAACGCCTCTTCCTGTTGAAGAAGTCCAGAATGAAATTCCATTAAAACGGAGCCCCTCACGTCGAAGGCAAACGGTCAAATTTACGCAGGAAGTGCACTGTGTTGTTTCCTCTAGACATATGATGTTGGCTTCAGAGCATTTTATGACTTTGCTCTCGGGCGATACCGAGGAAGCTAATACACTAAGGACTATTGGTCATGTCACTATTCCGCTTACGGTTGATGTGGAGACGTTGGTCATATTACTTAACATCATCCATGGGAAGACGAGAGAGGTTCCGCGGCAGGTTTCGTTGGAGACGCTGCGTGAGCTTGCGGTTATGGTGAGTGACCTTAGAATGATTAGTTCGGTGGAATTTTTCGCCGATACTTGGATTGATCATTCGAGGGAGGAGTTACCTGCGTCTTATACAGAAGATATTTTGTCCTGGCTCTATATATTTTTTGTATTTGAGAGGCCGGATGAGTTTAGGGATGTGTCGAAAATCACGGAACGGGAATGTGATGAGAAGATTGGTGATGATGAGGTGGGACGTCTTCTGCCAGTAGCTGTTATCAGTGAGTTCGAAATGTTCATTGCTTTCATTGGAATACGAAGACTAATGTCGAATAGATGCCATAAAACAAGCACGACAAAGCGCCATTGAGACGATAGTCAACGTTATCCACTCCCTCATCAAGAAATACATGGATGGCAAAGTCCACTGCGATAGCGGCATGGATGAAGACTTGCGATTCGCTTGTGATGCCATGCTCCTCGGTTCTCTCATGAAAGGTTCCTCGAAGATTGGTATCTGGCCCAGACCAGAGACGCCCTTCGTTGGGAAGAAATTTAATTCTCTCGCGGCGGAGATTAGAAAAATTAAGATGGTCGATGTTTGTGGGAAAAGTAGCGGGAGGAGATGGAGTAGTTATAGTGGGTTTGAGAGGAATTCTCACGGATTGGAGGACCAGATTGAGAGTATTATCAAAGCTGTTGAGGGGGGTCTGGGAGGTCTTGACCTTGACCAGTATAAAAAAGAAAGGTGAGTAAATTCTTGATTCTTGTATGGTTGTTTGCTAATCTTTTTGTAGTGGTGGGAGTTGGGACGATTTCCGGGTCCACGTTGCTCCAGCGCCAGCCAAGAAAGAATCACCTGTTCTTGAGAGTATAGAGGAGGTACCAGAAGTTGAAGCAGAAGTTGAGCCAGACGTTCAGCCAGAAGTTCAACCAGAAGTCCAGCCAGAGCCTGAGACATTAATTGAGCCAGCACCCTGGCCTAAACCCGAATCAAAAGCTGAGCCAATAGTCGTCGAATCAGAGGTCTATCCAGAAATCGAAGCCCACGAGCTCGAAGGTCGAGAAGTCGAACGGGAACCCGAGCCGGAAATTGTCCTGGAAGGCCTCTCACCGGAAGAGCCTGTCCTAGAAAATAAAGTATATGGAGGTTCTCTTGAAGCACGGAGACAATCTAACTCCTCTCAAGAAATCATGGCCAGACCACGCCCATCATTCGCCGATGAAGATAGACCGTTTGTGGATCCACTCAAAGTACGGAGACAGTCCAATTCCTCGCAAGAGAACCCCCGCCCTGCATTGAACGAGGCAGACATTACACCAACATTCGAACAAGCACGGGAATCCTTCCGCGCTCTCGAAGCCTCATCTCCTGTCTCATCTCCCACCCCAGTATCCAGAGACGACTCCCGAAACCCCTTTTTCCTCCAAACAGTCCATACTCGTCCAGGATCACTAGACCTCGACAGAGCAACGATGATTGAAGAACCAAAACCCGAGCCCGTTAAGAAAGGTTTCTTCGCGGACGTAAAAGAAACCGTGCTCCCAGAAATGGTCCAACAATCTCACACTCCCCCCAACCGCAGCTCCGTAACTTCTCCTACCCCATACAAGGAGAAAGTCTACGCCTCCATCTTCGAAGCTTCTCAAACAGAACCTTCAACAACCCCTCCACCTGTACACCCAAAACCGTCGATGTACCAATTGTCTAACCAATCCACTAACCGACTATCCAATGCATCAATAAATCAACTATCCAACGTCTCCACCAGAGAACTAGCTCGGGCGCCCTCGCCTACACCCACAACTGCAGATTTCACAATTGACCAGATTACACCACAGATACCAAAGGACATCATAAACGCAAAACTCTTACGCGCTCACACGTCTACCAACCTAGAAACAGATAAAGAATATCGTCCTAAAGAGCAATACGTAAAACACCCAATGGACCTCGCTAACACAAAACTCTCCCAAACAATCTCAACATCCTACATCAAGCGAGGCGACCAACCCCATCCCACCCAGTACGCTCAATACCCCGAAAGCCGCACTCCCCCCAAAGTCCTCGCCCCCAGCCCACGCATCTCCTCGCCTCCGCGCGTCTCCTCGCCCCCAAAGCCCTCTCAAGCCTATAAAGTCAAATCCCCCGTCACCAAACCCGCTCAGCCCAAGCAACCCGTGCAGCCCGTTCAACTGGACAAAGAAAGCCCCATCAGCACCATTAACCTCCGACCGATGAGCAAAGGGGATCCCGTCGCGGATCTCAGGGACCTGATTTCCAGGCCTGAGACTCCCGTGTCTCCGATGCCGAGTCTGAGCTTGATGCGCACAAGGACCGAGGAGAGTCCGGTTGTGGGTGTGGGTGGGAGGGATGGCACGGTGGAGGGAGATGTCTGGATCCCGAACCCGGGGGGGAAGGAGAAGGCGAGAAAGAGTAAGAAGAGGTTTGCTGTTAATAGGTTTTAGGGAGGCTTTGGCTGAGGTTCTTGCAGCGGTGGGTTTTTCCGAGGCTTTCATATTCGGTGCTAGGACGAATTTTATGGTTTTTGAGGGCGTGGTGGTTGAGGTGGAATAATATGTGCGAGCAGGATTTAGGAATATGTGTACACTGTACTGTACGTGTTGATGGTTACGACTTACGAATCGACGAAGCATGGACGACGACAGACCAGACCAGCGGAACGATTTTGTTCTGTATGCATTCGCCAGAAAGAGAAATTGGGTAGATAGAAATAGGAAGGAAGGAGGAAGAGCTGGGATATACATGTGATTGGTGCGTGGAGGTTGAAAAGTTGTATTGAGGGGTAAGGAAGTCAGTTTTGTTATTATGGAGGAGCGATACGGGTTTTGCTGGGATTTGGCGTACAGTGCGTGTTATTTTCGATATCCTCCTACTGCAGTTTGTTGTTTATGTACGTTTTTGCATTGGTGTTGAATATGAAGTTCTTTAGCATTAAAAGAATTATCTTACTATTATCCTGTCTATTTTCTTCTCTTCCTACCTGAATGTAACCAATCACTTTCAAATTGAAAGTGACTCCGCTGCAACACTAATCCTAGAGGCAATCTTCTCTACACGAGATTAGCATTAGTAATAGCCTACACAGTACTTGTAGTCCTGGAAGTGGTGTTGCTGTGATCGGTTGCCCTTCTTTCCAAGGGTGTGACGGTGCTTCTTTAGACTGAGACGTTGGTTGTGTGTTTTGGATTTCTTTGCGAAGACATTCTTGTGAATTGGTAGGTATAGGTGCTCTCTTGGATGGATGTGGAAGATATGTGAGTTGAGGTATGATGAAGTGCAACCTTTTGCGGGGAGGAGTGCTTCGTCAGTTGATTTGTTCCATGCGGAAGGGACTTGTAAATGGTAGGTGGATTGAGAGCGTCTGGCGAGAGCATGGGTTAAATATTGGCGCCTTCCATTGGTGGCCGGGTCCTCTGCTTCTATCGTTGTGAATATCTTGTTGGGGAATTTGCAAGTAAATTTGCATTTGCCAAACTGACACTTCAATGATTCTAAATTTTGATCTCCTAACTCATTCATTTGTCTTTAATAGACAACTCAACGAAGACCATTCAACAGACTCCTTCACCCTAGCTCTCTCATGTCTTTTATTGCTCCAAATATTTATGCACCAAGAAGTGAACTGCAGGAGCTGTTTCGCTAAAGGTCTTTCCAGCCATCCAGATGAGCGAAAACTCAAAATCCGCCACTTTCTCGCCGATTTGAGATCTAATTGGTCATCGCCTCTGTATTTGGTATGCGGCATATACCAATACTGCTTGCTGCCTAGCAGTCCGCTACGGGCGGTTGGGCGGTCGGTGGTTGTCGGTGGTTGTCACGCTAACGCTAAGCGAGATTGACTCTAGGACTAGCGTGCTTTTTCCAGTCGCAATTCCCACAACACTGTCGCTCAACAATTTTTTTGAATCAATCGAACAACCGGTCACCTCTTGTCAACCATACTAAACAACTTTTGGCAAAACCGATCTAGGTCAAACACCACCTGACGAACCTTCTTTAAGTATTCAGGCTGTTGTTTTCTGCGTGCTTTCGACATGCGCATAAGAGAAGGACAAGGAAGCAGACTGGTAAGTCTCCCTCTTTGATTACACAGATGGCGAAGGTGACGACGAAAAGGGAAAAGAGGACGCATACTGATCTGCTTAAGTTTGATTGTACAGACGCTGAGGACGAAGCCACACTCCGTCGCTCAAAACATCAACTCGCTCCCCTGGTGTTTCTCTTGAACCCATCAGAGTCCAGACACAAGCCACCATCCTGTTCCAAGGGGAGATCAATCTCACGGCAGAATAAAGACGCCGCATTTGCTTTTCACTGGAGTTTCCCTCAACCCATCTCAAGAGACCCTAGGGTAATTGAGTGCCCAATCTCTCCAGAACAACACGCGGAACAAAAAGCCATCACCCCTGTTTTCACTACCAGATTCACAAGTGGTGTCACCTCCCCAGGAATACGCAACTTCTTGTTCAAGAGTCACAGTAACTGGTCAAAAGCAAATTTCTCTCGTCTTTCCTTTACGACAGCCAGACTACAACAGCGTATACGACAGCTAGGGAAAAGCCAACTACACTCTCTCAGCAATCATCCAGCTCCAGTCCGACTGCCAATATAACATCCAGACCCAGCTGATCATATCAACAACCGAGCCAAAATCATCAAGTTCTCTATTGAAAGAGCAGACTGGTGCGGAAAAGAAGACCATTTGCAGAAGGCCTACAAATTTCACCCCAATTGAAATCCAAAGGCGTCTTGGCAAGACGAGGCACAGACAAAGGATATATAATACAAGTCCCTCGTCAAGCGTGCTCTATGCAGACAAAGATTCCGATAGTGATAAAGGTCTGACTATAACGGTACGTAAAGCTCCATAATTCATGTGATGGTCACATTCGCAAGATGAAGCACTGACAATAGTTAGAATAAGCGAGACTTCGGCCACCAAGAGATCCACGACTCACCAGCGACTTATTGCAATCAATGTCATCAACACCTTGAACCTCGCAATATCGATAATTCCAAAGCTCAAGACTACAGCTTCAGAGTGCGGTACCACCCCACGTCTTCAGATGGTTGTAAGTGACGCCCATCTGATTGCCAGGTTCGCGGAGCTCAATGAAGCTACGCTTTCTGAGAATTTGGATGACGAACTCCCTCTCTCTTCGTTCTTCTTGTACCTTATGGGGACCGATAACCAACGAGCAAACTTGTTCGTGGGCTCTCCACCCATACGATCAAGTACTCCGCAACCAGCGAATAGCGCAAGCCAACAACTTCGAATCGTCACACCGGAAAGAAAGCATCAAGTTGACCATAAGTTTGCTATCTGGCACTATAGCAAAGTCTCTACTGTTCTTCTGCGCCATAATGTTGCCGTGGCTTCTTCCCTCAGTAAACAGAGTCTACTCGGTTATTCATGGTCCAACCCTTGCCGATATCGCCAATCAACCTGCGGAATTTATTGAAGGCAAGATTCAGAGACACTGCAGATTCACCTTCAAACACCTTCGCTACTAGGTGACTGATGGCTTCACTTCTTCGCGACATGTTCATGTTCCTAGAGCACCACCTGCGCCATGGTGCAGTGGAAGCGCACTCACCTGCGCCATGGTGCAGGAGAGACCCACTCAGTTGTTATTGCTGACAATGTCAGGCAATGGACAGCACTGAGATGAGCTTGTAAGATCTGACGGGGTGGGAGCGGGATCACCACCCACACTCTTCTAGCTACAGATATCGTAAAAGCATAGCGAGAACACTGGAATATAGCTTGTCCCAAGCAAGCGGCCAATTCTTGACCCTTGTCTCGACAAGATCGGGAATTGGCAAGCAAACTTGGGAGGACCTAGCGTCTCTCAAATTGGGGGGTGCTGGTGACCAAGCTTGGTAGGACCTAGCATCTCTCAATGGGATGGGGCTTGTCAAGAAATCTAGTACGTATGCCCTTCTTAGACTCTCTCTGTGGTACCCAGGACTAACCGTTGCTAGCATCTCAGCAGTTTTCGTTGCAGTTCTACAACAACTCGGTCGAGAATTGGAGACAACGAACAACACCACCTACCAGGGAGCCAGAGGCAGCGGCAAGGATACACTCATCGCGTGCATCATCTGGAAGAAATCGGATGTGTACCTGCTCTGCTGGGACAGAGGACTGGGACAGAGGGACTTGTGTTGTGGAATATAAGGGGCTGTTGGTGTATGTTTTTTAGGGTGCGGGGGAGAGGATGTATGTGGGTGTATATAAGAATGGTATTTCTGGTACAAGAAATATTTTTCAACTATTTCTTGAAAACTGAAAGTGAAGTCAATCTTCAGAACCTCTGGTAATTGATTCAATTGCAATCGTTGTCCATGTGATATCCAGAAGTTATGTAAGTGAAAGTTCCCTGCAACACAGTGAGGAAGTCTAGTGCTCGCAATGAATTCTGGTTGTAAGTGATCCAGGTCATTGTAGTGCTATCTCAATGCTGACTGGTGCTACAGCATCATGACTTGTTTCTCGTATCACAATTTAAAACTGCAAAACGAGAACTTTCGCCTACCTGTAGTTTGGTCGACGAATATCAGTGCTTTGAAACTACAACGGGCCTCGTCCGAACCTGAGATATATAACCTGAAGGAATAGGCAATTCTGGATTGCCCATTCCTACAATCCGTGGATAAACCCGCTCGAGTGAGCATCATCTGCATTTTCTGCGCTCCAGGAGCACCTGATGAAGGATAAATTGTTCTGGAAGGATCCCGCGTGTCTTTTTCCCGTAGTAGGCATTGAATCATTCTTTTTGTCACTAGGAAGCTTTTGATCCCCGGTAGGTGTCTTGAATTACAAACAATGGCCGAGAAGTGTAAGTTTCTCGGTCCCAGTGATTGGAACAAATTGCCGTATATTAAGATCTTCTGTGTTGTGTCCAGACGTATTGTAGCTATAGTCAGAATAGGAGACAACAGCACTCTACTGACAAAGTTTACAAGAAATAGCTTGTATTATTGAAGGTACTATAAAGATTCCCTTAATTGTTACTTGTTTTGAATTTCCCACCAAAACTTCCACGCCTGACTTCTGCCCTATGATCCCCAGTTTTCAGGCATCGAAACGCTTCCCGGTTCCTTTATCGTCAAGAATGATTGGCTGGAAAAGGAGTAACATCAAAATGACCACACGGGCCGTTAAATACCGAATAGGAAATCGGCGCGCCACCTGAAGTCACTGTTATTCCGTTGTATGGACCACCCCCATCAGCTGGGCAATCAAATAGGGTCCTGATACCGAAACTAGGTGTCAAAAGCCGACAAACGTCACCCACAGGTTGCACTAAGCCACCACCTACGCAGTTCTCCTTAAGTAAACACTGTGGATGGCATCAGTATCAGCAATATGGTCAAAAGGTACCTCATCTCTGAGAAAGATAATGTCTTATTCACATTGAAGAATGGAAAGGGGCTGAATAAGACCCGTGAGGAACACTTACTTGGACGCAACAATCGTATGCACTGGGTGTTGGGAAATCCTCATAAGTGAGCTCATTGTTTTGGGTATTTGCTGACATCAATTATCGAATTTCGGTTGTTGCTGGCTGCATATATAGGGGTTGCAGTTTCCCTCACTTGCATGTGTTTCTTTTTTGTGGTCGCGGTTGTTCGTGCAGTTGATACTTGACCTTTGACGGCGACGAGGACAAAATTTGTACAGAATACTTTGTCAACGTATTTTCCTTCATAATCTATGGGTTGCACGCCTTCGACGTCCCTGCGCTTTGTTACATCTATAGGACCAAGAGGAGTCGGGCCTATGTAGATGTAATTTTGCGGGGTTGCGACGGTTGGGGTGACAGTAACAGTAACTTGGGTATGAAATGTTAGTTTTTGATCATATTTGGGAACAAGTAGGGGACTCACAGGTTTTTGTTGTGTACACTGTCGAGGTTGGTGTAACCACGTAGTCATCTCCAGGATCGACGGTAATGATCTTCGAATCAGTCTTGGTTAGAATCCTTCCGTGTCCATCTTCGTCAGTCCACTTCGTCTTACATTTCACGGAGCTCAAAACTGTTTCGAGCTCTTCATTTTTCCCGTAAGACAACACAATAGAGACAAGTGAGAGGATCCCGAATAAGTATAAAAGCATTTTATCCGTGATAATGCAGTGGAATCTTTTGGAAAGTAATAGATGAGTGATCACAAGCTTGGAAGTTATGGGTTGGGGAACCACTTTAGCATCCACAGTTGGTACATTTCGAGTTAGATGGTAACCGAAGCAGATTACAAACACTGGAAGCATGTAAATGGATCAGAATGATGTTCCGGAGGTGGAATGGCAGTAGTTGAAGGTACATTCCATTTAAGCGAGGAACCCCTTTGGCCTCATTCGCTACCAGAGATTCTCAGATGAAAGCTAGCTTGAGGTTAGGCAACTTTCGGCCAGTTTCTCAAGGTATTCTTAACGCAGCCTTACCTTTCATCTCACTAAAAGCATATATACTAGGGAAATGCTTCATCGCTTAATCTCATTGTTCTTTTGACTGTACCCCACGGAAGAGTGTAATACCAGATGTCACTGATCGGCCCAAAGTTAAAAGCGTACAGTTGCCATCATATCTATGAGTAGTATCTTTAAAGATTTCGGCTAAGGAAAAAGGTATGCTCATGTCGACTAACCGCCGTTCATCCACGTTGAATAGCGAAAGTTCACCTCTGCAATTCTTCAAATGTGAACCCTCTGCTTTTCTACCCAGGGCGTGTCCTAATGTGGGGTTCACTTGAACTGTCTAGACTCGATTATTACATTGACCCTACTCAACCTTCTCTTTCCCCAACCGCGTGGTCGAAAAATGGATCGACCCCGGTGGGCATCATCAATAGATGAATCCAGACATGATTCGAATGTTTTGGAAGAACGAAACGGAGTCCATTTACGGTTGATACAATTTAACAACGGGTCGATAAAAGATGACGAGAACACTTCACCTAGGTAGATGAACGTGTCACATATATGTCATATAGACCTTTCTAGTTCTATTACATTAAGCTGCCCAACCCAAAAACGTAAAGCCCTAATACAAAAGCCTGCAACACCATCAACCCCTCATCAAAAACCTATACTTTTCATTCCCTCCCATCCAAGGTTCAAATCACACAAAACTCCTCCCCTTCTCCCTAATCCCCAGCCCAACCTGTTCTCTCTCCCCCCCACAATCACTCTCATGACACCGCCTCACCCCTCTAAGCAACACAAAATAATAAACCACATACAGCCCCCCACAACCAACCAAAACACCACTCGTCGCCCCCGCCGTGACCCCCGCCGTATCCCCTCACCTGCCATCCGCCCTCCCATAA